TTTTGTGGGTGGTAGGCTAATTACTGATAATGTCATTATAGCACATGAGTTGGTTCATGCGCTCCGTACAAATGATAAAATTGGTCAAACCTGTATGGCTATCAAAACAGATATGTCTAAGGCGTATGACCGGGTAGAATGGAATTTCCTGGAAGTCTTATTAGAGAAAATGGGATTCCATAGAAAATGGATCGTCTGGTTAATGTCCTGCATCACTACGGTCTCTTTTTCGGTATTACTCAATGGTCGTTCCCATGGGTTCATTAAACCCGAACGTGGCATTCGTCAAGGGGACCCTTTATCCCCTTTTCTATTTATTTTATGTGCTGAAGCTTTAGTTCATGTTTTAAATAGATCAGAATCGCAAGGAAAACTACACGGTATAAAGTTAGCAGCGGGTAGCCCTTCAGTTCACCATTTACTATTTGCTGATGATAGCTTGTTGTTATGTGAAGCATCTATTGGTGACAGTCTAGAAATTTTAAACGGATTAAAAATTTATGGGGATGCGTCTGGTCAAATGATTAACCCTTTGAAATCTACCATCATTTTTGGGGAAAAAATTGATAATGTTTATAAACAGATAATCAAAGATGTTCTGGGGATAGAAAAAGAAGGTGGTGACGGTTCGTATTTGGGTCTCCCTGAATGTTTTCAAGGGTCAAAAAAGGCACTCTTAAATTTTATCAAGGACAAATTAGAAGGACGGTTACAGGGCTGGTACTCTAAAACTCTGTCTATGGGGGCTAAGGAAGTTCTAATAAAATCAGTAGCATTAGCTCTACCGATATATGCAATGTCAGTCTTTCGGTTACCAAAAGGTCTATGTGAACGAATTACGAGGGCGATTATAGAGTTCTGGTGGAGCAGTGGGGACAAAAAAAGAAAAATTCCTTGGGTTTCGTGGGAAAAACTTTGTAAACCTAAAGATCAGGGTGGCCTTGGGTTTCAGGACATTGGTCGGTTTAATCAGGCTTTGCTTGGTAAACAAGCTTGGCGAATATGGAATAATCCGGATTCTTTGGTCTCTCGGATCCTTAAAGGTAAATATTATAAAAATGGGGATTTTTTAGATTGCGGTATGGGGACACGTCCGTCTTATGCTTGGAGGAGTATCATGCACGGTCGTGAATTATTAAAAAAGGGTCTATATCGACANAGATTGCGGTATGGGGACACGTCCGTCTTATGCTTGGAGGAGTATCATGCACGGTCGTGAATTATTAAAAAAGGGTCTATATCGACATATTGGCAATGGCACAGATAGCAATGTTTGGGCTGAAAACTGGATTATTGACATTATCCCACGACCACCAATGTATCGGGATAACAGTTCTGTCAATTTGGCGCTAAAAGTTCCGGATCTACTCCGGCCGGGTACTAATCAATGGGATACTAATTTGTTATATCAGACTTTTACGCGTCAGGATGCTCAAAGGATTCTTCTTTTTAAAACCATCAATTGTTAGTGACGACTCTATCAGATGGGGTTTCACACCCAATGGATCATATACGACACGGAGTGGTTATAAGTTACTGGAGGCTTTGGTGGATTTTGAAAATCCTCATGACCATTCCCTCTCCCCTTTGGAAAAAAAATTATGGCAAGATTTGTGGAAGACAAAAGCTCCACCAAAAATTAAACATTTTATGTGGCGGGCATTATCGGGTGCGTTGGCAGTCAAACAACGTTTAGCTACACGTGGTATTCCGCTAGATCCAACTTGCCCATTTTGTGGGGTTGAAGATGAGACCGTTTGCCATGTTTTGTTCACATGCGCTAAAGCACGTGATATATGGGACCTCGCAAATGTCCAAGTTCCTACCAGAGGGTTCTCTAGGAATTCCACGTTCCTAAATTTTGTTCATTTACTCAAGTATTCTAAGAGCACTTCTGGGGATACACATGCAGCAAAAGTGTTCCCATGGTTGTTATGGGAAATATGGAAAGCTAGAAATTCTTTTGTTTTTAAGAATAAGGTTCTTGAATCTTCCTTTGTCGCTCAGAGGGCGTATGAAGAGGAATCGACATGGTATGATACTTTCTCGGGTTCTTTAGACCAAGTTGACGGTGTTGGCGTATGTAAGGCTTCATGGATGAAACCACCTAATGGTACCCTAAAATGTAATGTGGGTTCTTCGTGGACTAATCCAAACCTCCCGAGTGGTGCTTCTTGGATTCTTCGTGATGATAAAGGAAATACAATCATGCATAGTCGTCGGGCTTATTCATACATGCGTACAAAGACCGAGGCTGACTTGTGGGCACTCTTCTGGGCGGTGGAATGTCTGCACAACCTACACTTCTCAAATATAATTTTCGAGACCTCCTCAGATTACCTCCATGACGCCATTACGAATCCAACTGCTTCCCCTTGTCACAGCCACATTCGTCACAGCATTTTCTGGCTCCTGGCTAGAATTGATTCATGGAGTCTGAATCACGCACTTCCGGATCGAAATGAAGCTGCATCTTCTATAGCTCTTAGCGTCACTCGAGACCAGCGGCATCAGTCTTATATCGCTCGGAATGCTCATTCGTGGCTACATCATCTGCTCGTCCTGGAGGCTCAGTAAGGAAGGGGGTGGGTATATAGGTTATCCTTCTCCTTTTTATCGATTTTTCCTTCTGATGGTGTCTTCTGACATCTCATTTTTGCTATTATCGTCTCTTTGTTGTACCCCCTCGTACTTTTGTTCGAACTCAGCGTTAAAAAAAAAAAAAAAAAAACACCGAGAGCAATCATACCACGTGTGACGTAAGGAAATAAAGATAATGGAACATGTTTTTAAACAAATAAATCTGCGTCATGCTATTCCCTATTAGTTTTTAAACAAATAAAGATAATGGAACATGTTTTTAAACAAATAAAGATAATGGAACGTGTAATTATGTATCACTCACAATCTCAATTAGTTTTTTCATTCTTAACATTGTTTTGGATAACTATGGAAACCGTTTTCGGTCTTAGCTCAGAGTTTTAAACATCTCGAGTTAGAAGGCAGATAATGTAAAGATAGTGGATAAAAAATATGGATCTGTTTCTAACAAACACGACTGCAGGTAGCTACTATCCAATGTTTTTAAGTCCGAGCTGGACATGGAACCTGACAATTACCGGGTCATCGACTACGAACCATGGGTCAACATATTAATAAATTTTAATATATAATTATATATTAAATATTGAAAATATAGGAGAAATTTTCACAAGTATAAAAGATATAGAAAATATATAAATTTGTTTTTTCATTTAAAATTTATAATAATTATTTATATATTTATTTATTTTAAAAATTTGAAACCCCATTCCCAAATTCTCACCTCTTAATTCTAAATTCTAAGTCTATTAGTTAATTCTAGGGCATATATACGTATATAAACATCTTCTTTCTTAAATGTTATTTCTGTAAAAATAAATTAAAAAATACTATCCAAGATAATTTCTATAATATATTTAAAACTAATTTAAATTATTGAACAGCTATATTTTCAGTTGAGACATATAGTAAAGCATAACAAGACTTAAATCTCATAAGTTTTAGATATTTATCATTGTTCACTGTATTTTATTTAAGAGGGATGATGCAATGTTCCTCAAAATCTAAATATCATAAGAAATTGATTAGTCGATATTATATATGATTTGTCAAAATTTAAAAAAAAACAAAGATCAATGAATTTGATTCACAAAAAGTTATTTATTTAGAAGCATGAGATATAAAAAAAAAGTTTATATGATAAAGGTTAGAACCTAGAAAGTTAAAACAATGTTATTCATTATATATGAAATAAGCACAAAAAGCGATAATTTCATGAGAAAATTAAAAATTAAAAAGGAAAAGCCTAATTTCTTATTTTTGGTATACAAAAAAAATATTTAATAAAATAATTAAAAACTTAAGAAAAACTAAATAAAAAATAATTTACTGGTTCGTCCGCTGGTTCAACACACTAGGTTTTAAGGGATTTTATTGGGTTTTATCGAATTTTTAATGAGTGAATTTTTTAATATCCAAACTGAATTATTTATTGGATCATCAGGTTTGATGGTCCGGCCGCGAATTCGAATCGGACGTGAAAACACTACTAATATCCCTAGCTTGCTCACTCTCCAAAACAAACCTTATGGTCGTCAAAACCAATTAACTGACCACCAAACCACCCAACAACAACCATTGGATGATCTTGGCACCAACCTGGAGGACAATATTTTCAAGTAATATAAACTGTAGTGTTCCAAAACTCATGTTATTTCCACCAAGGCACTGGCTCAACAAAATCACACTCTATTATATGCGCAAGACAGCCAGATTCAGTTATATAAGATATCTCAATTACAAAAACTTAAAATCAATTCGAAGAAAACGATTTTCATTTTCAAGCGTCCGTCCATCGATCTCAACTTCACACAAACTAACTACAACATCAGATACAAACCAACCCATACAATTGGATTTGTATAAACATTCATAGTGAAAATATATAATTGTAACAGAATCCGCGCGTAGCGCGGACCGGCCCTAGTTACATAAATAATACTCCCTCTGTTTTATTATAAGTGTCACTCTACAGCTGCGCACACGGATTAAGGAAACAATTAATTTTATATATTTCCTATATAAAAACACAATTACCTATACACCTACCCATATTTTAACCAATAGAAAAACAAATTACATAATAAAATTAATAAATTTTGCATTGAAAACCGAAAACGACACTTATTTTGTAACGCAAAAAATTCTCTACAACGACACTTAATATGAAACGGAGGGAGTATTACAACCGATAATTCTATAAGTTTAACTGACTTATAAAAAAATAAAGTTCATTTAGTCAAAGAGCCTTTAATACAAAAATTAATAAAAATAAAAAGAAAAAGAAAAAAAAACAGATAACCCTATCTTTGTTTTCTGTCGAGCTAATAAGACATTCCTCCACGGAGGCATGAACACCCTCTCCCTCCACTTACTCATACCGACGGCTATCCACCTCAAATCCTCACGCGCCGCCTCAACGTCCTTCCCACGCGCTACCTCTCCCTCCCCTCTACGCATCACCACTCCTTCAATTTTACGCGCCACTTCATCGGACGACTCACCACAGTCAATCCAAAACCAAACTCTAGAAATCCTAGAATGGCGCGCCCTCTGCAACCAACTCTCTCCCTTCGCCTCCACATCAATGGGCCTCTCCGCCACCAAAAACGCCGTTATCCCCGTGGGAAACTCTCCAGAAGAGAGCAGGAGCCTCCTCGACGAGACGGCTGCCGCCTTGGCTGCCATGGAAGTGATGGAACCGCGGCGGTTTGGTCTGTCTGAGATCATGGACTTGTCTGAAATCGTGGAGCGTGCTGTGGCTGGTCAGTTACTCACCGTTAGAGAGCTCTGCGCCGTTCGTGGCACGTTAACGGCTGCTTCATTAGTCTTTGAGAAACTACGAAGAGCAGCTAATAGTGATAAACGGTATATAATCAGTCTTTTATCTTCTCAGTAATACAGTAACTCAGCTACAGTTTTAATCAGTGTTCTAAAAATCGGTTTAAGTCACTTTAGGCGGCAAATCGTATCTAAATTGAAATTTTTTTTTCTAATCGATTTTAGACCGCCTAAACAATAATCCTCTATAAAACGTGTAGCAACCGCCTAGTTGACTATTGGTTCTATTAGGCATTCCATGTGTATAGTTGTAGCCAAATTTTTGTGTTGCTATTTGTAGATAGTTTTGGTATGTATAAAGCTCATAGTTTTTTTTTTTGAGGTGCAGAGAATGTGTTAGAATGTCCGTTTAGTCACTTAGGCGGCAAATCGTATCTAAATTGAAACATTTTTTTCTAATCGATTTTAGACCGCCTAAACAATAATCCTCTATAAAACGTGTAGATTTGATAAAAGAAAGGTGCATTAGCTCCGCCTAACAATTTTTTGAACATATGGTTTTTACTAGGCATTCCATGTGTATAGTTATATCCAATGTCCGTATTTCTATTTGTAGATAGTTTTAGTATGTATAGAGCTCATAGTTCTGTCTGAGGTTCAAAGCTTGTGTTAGAACCTCGTGGCTCTTATCTTTTACTTATCTTGTAGGGTTAAACCTCTTGTAGAGATACTAGAAGGTTGTGATTTCAACACTACGTTAGAGCAAAAGATTAGTTTCTGTATCGACTGCAACTTGTCTATGATTCTCGACAGAGCTAGCGAAGACCTCGAGATCATAAGATCAGAACGGAAAAGAAACATAAAGAATCTGGATTCTCTTTTAAAAAAAGTATCGACTAGGATTTATCACGCCGGGGGAATCAACAAGCCAACGGTAACCAAGCGGAGATCAAGGATGTGCGTAGCTATCAGAGCTACGCACAAACGTTTGCTTCCAGGTGGTGTTGTTCTAAGTGTGAGTAGCTCAAGGGCAACCTGCTTTATGGAACCAAAAGAGGCAGTAGAGCTTAATAACATGGAAGTGAGGCATGCGAACTCGGAGAAAGCTGAGGAAATGGCGATTTTGAGCATTTTGACTTCTGAAGTGTCGGCTGCACAGAGTGGGATACTGCATCTGTTGGATAGAATCTTAGAACTTGACGTTGCTTTTGCAAGAGCATCACATGCAAAGTGGATGAATGGTGTTTATCCAAAACTAACTTCAGAACACACTAAGGATGGAGATGGTAGATCTCTAGCTGTAGACATTGATTCTGTGCAGCACCCTTTGCTTCTTGGTTCTGTATTAGGCAGCGGCTCAAATGGTGACAACCTCTTCCCTGTGCCGATAGACATTAAGGTTGAGAGAAGAAGCAAAGTAGTCGTCATCTCTGGTCCAAACACAGGAGGAAAGACCGCTTTGTTAAAGACATTGGGATTAATCTCTCTTATGTCGAAGTCAGGGATGTATTTGCCTGCTAAGAATCGTCCTAGGTTGCCTTGGTTTGATCTTATTCTCGCTGACATTGGAGATCCTCAGGTATTGCCCTCTTGATTATCTTCTTAAGTAGGCTTACATGCAACTTATACAAAGCTAAAACACTTAATTTTCTTTTAGTTAGTGTTCTTAAAATCCGTTGAATCGGATTAAATTGGTCTAAACGTTCAAAAAATCGGTCTAAAGACCCGCCTAAACAATAATTCTTTATAACGCACACTGCCTAGCGATTTCTTGAACATTGCTTTTATTCAATATTTTTTTTTACGAACCTTTATTTACAGTCTTTGGAGCAAAGCCTGTCAACATTTAGTGGCCACATCTCACGGATATGTCAGATACTTAACATTGCTTCAGAAAACTCGCTTGTTCTACTAGACGAAATCTGCAGTGGAACTGATCCATCAGAAGGCGTTGCGCTTGCCACCAGCATCCTACAGTATATTAAAAACCGTGTTAACGTGGCGGTTGTGTCCACACATTACGGTGACTTGAGTCGCTTAAAGGATAACGAGACTCAATTCCAAAACGCTGCAATGGAGTTCTCCATGGAAACTCTGCAGCCTACATTCAGAGTACTTTGGGGAAGTACTGGTGAATCAAATGCATTGAGAGTAGCTAAGTCCATTGGTTTCAATGGAAGGATATTAGAACGTGCACATGAATGGAGAGAGAGGTTGAAGCCAGAGCAGGAAGTAGAGAGGAAAGGCTCGTTGTTTCAGTCTCTTGTAGAAGAAAGAAATACGCTAAATCTTCAGGCGACCAAGGCTGAAGCCTTACATAGAGATTTAATGAATCATTACCGTGAGGTATTACTTCTTGAATATTAATTCATTTCTTGTATTGTCTCTCTGTTCCTGATTCTTCTCTCTTTTGATGTTATCCTGAAGCTTGAGGATGAGTCACATGATCTTGAGAAACGTGAGAAGGCTCTTTTCAAGAAAGAAACTCAAAAGGTGCAAGAAGATTTAATCTCTGCCAAGACAAAGATTCAGAAACTGGTGTCTGAATTCGAGAGTCAGTTAGAAACTGTTACGGCTGATCAATACAACTCTTTAATTCTCAAAACCGAAGAGGCAGTTGCAGATATAATCGAAGCTTATTGTCCTAACGATCTTGTAGTAAAGGAAGAAGGGTATAATAGCTACTACTCACCACAAGCAGGTGAAAAGGTAATACTAACTGGATTCGGAGGTAAGTTAGGCACTGTGGTTGAAGAACCAAGAGACAACGATGAGACGGTTCTAGTCCAGCAGGGTAAGATGAGAGTACGCATCAACAGAAAGGACATAAAGCCTCTTCCTCGTAACAAAACAAGTGAAAGACCAAATCGTTCAAAGAGACAGGTAAGCATGAAAGAGATAGGGAGTGTGTTGGAGATGCAGAGCGAACCGGTGAGGATTCAAACGTCGAAGAACACGTTGGATCTAAGAGGAATGCGGGTGGAAGAAGCGATGTATCAGCTAGACATGGCTGTTTCGGGTAGAGAATCAGGTTCGATACTCTTTATTATTCATGGGATGGGAACAGGGGTTATAAAGGAGCTGGTGCTTGAGAGGTTAAGGAAGAACACTCGTGTCTCAAGGTATGAGCTGGCGAATCCTATGAACTATGGTTGTACAGTTGCTTACATTAAATGAACACATTGTTCTCTGTAAACATATTCTTGAGAAGTGTGGTATGATTATAAATTTATAATGGTCCAAAAACAAGTATAAATGCACTCTGCAAGATACCATGAAAAACATTCATATCAATCCGGTGGAACCGGAGATCCGGGTAAAGGAGCATCGTGCGCCGTAACTGCTTTGATGTAGCCAAAAATATTTACCGTAAGGTTTGCAACTCCACACTACCGTACAAGAAAACCAAACATCTGACGAGGCCACCTCACTGAACTCAAAGACTCGTGAAAGAAAACTATTTTCCTGAGTTTTGTGGGTTTGTATAAACAAAGTGAAAACCATTCAATCCCCTATATATTATTTGCGAAGTGATTTTGCCACATGTCGTCTCTACATTCAGTTTCACAAAAAAATGGTGACATATCTACTAGAATTGATGACTTGGCATATAATTAAATATGACATGGACAATTGCATTTAATGTTAATATATATTTTGGAAAACTTTATAAAATATGGTAACAACTCATATATTAGATTTGATGTCGATTTATATGTCGATTAATTTTCTACAAATTTATTTAATATATTTAATTAAATAAATAGATAAAAAATCTATCTAAGATTATAATTTTAAATATATACATGCATATTCTTAAATATAATTTAAAATAAACAAAAATATTTTTTTATTATTTTTATGTTTAATTAAACAAAATTTTGTATTAGAATAGTGATAAGTAAAAGAAAATTTATAATATTAATAAAATTTTAATTTTAAACATAATTTATATTGTATCTGTTAAAAAAATATTTTAAATTGTTTTACTGCACATGGTGCAGGAGAACACCTAGTATATAAACAAAGGAATAAAATTTTTTTTTTAATTTTTATTGTGAAAACCATTAACTAAAAAACAAAAATAAAATGATATAATTGTTTAGAAATAATTCAATAAAAATGCAAATAAAATTTTCATAAACAAAGTGAAAACCATTCAATAATATAAAAACTGTATTTTATGCTTTTAAAGAGACATCAATTTCTTCAAAAAATAAGCACGAAATAAAATAATAACAATAATTATTTTTATATGTTTTAGGTTTATCAAAAAAGAAAATAAAAATAACAAGAAAAAACATAAATTTGAAATTTAATTATTTTTTGTCAACTTGAAATTTAGTTAAATTACCTTAAATATTTAAATTCGTATTTATTTTGATCCTTCCTAAAATTATTAAATCATAAAATATTATTAACTGAAACTCAAGAAAATCTTGACAAAAAAAAAGAGACCCAGAAAATCAAACCGATTGCCAGCGTGTAAAACTAACCGGTGATAAAATCAGAAAACAAAGACTTCACCTACACGTGTCACTATATAATTGGCTACGCTTACGCAGACAGAGCTCCTCGGAGAGTTAAGAGGAACCGTGTTCTGTCATCAATTTGTCTCTCCTTTTCTCCTCCTCCTCCTCCTCCTCGTCTTCTTCCTCTGCGCTCACCTTTACGACATCTTAAATCTCCAGTCTCTCTCCCTCTTCCTTCTCCAACATCAATAAAACTCTAATTCTCAATTTCTCCCGCGTGCTCGTGACTCCTTCTTCCCTGTACGTTGTATTCATCTCAATTTCTCGAAATTAAGCAATTAAAAATATATAAATTAATGTTCTTTTGTGATCTATCTTGAAAAAAAAAAAACAGATTTTGAGGAACAATGATTCGTCTCCGGGCATACGCAGGCCTCAGCACCATCGCAACACTCTCCATGATCTACCACGCCTTCAGCAGCCGTGGCCAATTCTACCCCGCAACCGCCTACCTCTCAACCTCCAAGATCAGTCTCCTCATCCTCCTCAACATGGCTCTCGTCCTAATGCTCACCTTATGGAACCTAATCAAACTCGTCTTCCTCGGCTCCCTCCGTGAAGCCGAGGTGGAGCGTCTGAACGAGCAGGCGTGGAGAGAGCTCATGGAGATTCTCTTTGCTGTCACTATTTTCCGACAGGACTTCTCTGTTGGGTTTCTTTACTTGGTTGTGACGCTTTTGTTGATCAAGGCCTTGCATTGGATGGCTCAGAAGAGAGTTGAGTATATGGAGACTACTCCTTCTGTGAGTTTGGTGTCTCATGTTCGGATTGTTTCTTTCTTGGTTTTTCTGTTGGTGGTGGATGGTTTGCTTACGTATAGTTCTGTAAGGGAGTATATTGAGACGCCTAAGGCTTCCATGTCTGTCTTCTTCACGTTTGAGTAAGTGTTTTTTTTTGGTCTCGTCTATGTTTTTGTGGGGTTTGATGTTTTTTAAGACAGGGTAAGGATCGTATAGCGTTTGAGATTTGTTATAAATTGGAGTTGAAAGTTGTTGAATTTGACATAGCTGAGTGAGTTGTATATGAGAAGGATCTCCAATGAATTGAATTGTATTTAGAAATGTGATTTCAAATAGGCTTTATGCAAGTAAAAGATGTGTGGCATCAGAAGAACTATAGAACACTCTTACTGTTGTGAAAATGTTTATCTATGAACCCTCCTTTCATGTATGATAGCTATGAAGCATGAAAGAGACATGAAACATCTGCAGAAAATAGCTGAATAAAGTGGTCAAAGTATGCAATTAGCTTTGGTCGATGATGTTTTTTATTAGTTATGTAACGTTCTGTGGATATGCCATCTGAAACCATGTGATAGTCCGCCCCTAGCTGTTTGTTTTTTAAACTAAGTCTTTTTGAACTTTTCATCATACAGCCTTGCGTTAGACATAGTTGATTATTTTATGATGCAGGTATATGATTCTGGCGACTACAACTCTTTCTGTTATTGTGAAGTATGCCTTCTATGTGACTGATCTGGTCAAGGAAGGTCAATGGGAAGGAAAGCCAGTATATACTTTCTATTTAGAGCTTGTTCGTGACTTGCTTCACTTGTCCATGTACCTCTGCTTCTTCCTTATGATTTTCATGTAAGTAGTCCAAACTCTTCTTTCATAATTATTTCAATCTTAGATGTTATTATTGCTGGAAACTGATTCCCAGAGTTAGTTGCATAACTATCTATTTACATCTGGAACCTATAAGTCTTCTCTTTGTCACATTAGTGGTTCCACATATGCTTACTTGTAGCCAGAGTCAAAACAATAGTTCTATTCAGTCCATAGACCTTATAATGCACCAAGGGATTTGATTGGCATTTTTGGTATTATATCTTAATTTAAGTAACAATTTGTTGTCTTGAATAGGAACTATGGACTTCCCTTGCATCTAATAAGGGAGCTGTACGAAACATTCAGAAACTTCAAGATCCGTGTGACTGATTACCTCCGCTACCGTAAAATCGCTTCCAATATGAACGATAGGTTTCCTGATGCAACTCCTGAAGAACTTAGTTCGTAAGTGTATTCCCAAAATATTCTAAATTAGCCATTTGCATTTTTTTTGCTTAATTCAATAGTTGTTAATGTGGTGGTTTGCAGAAATGATGCCACCTGTATTATATGCCGTGAAGAAATGACCACAGCGAAGAAGTTAGTATGTGGCCATCTGTTTCATGTACATTGTCTTCGGTCATGGTTGGAACGACAGAACACGTGTCCCACCTGCAGAGCACTCGTTGTCCCAGCTGAAAATGCTGCTACATCAACAGCTTCTGGAGCACACCAAGGATCCCTGCAGCAGGGTACCCCATCTTGCTATTTATTTAACATTTTCTTAATGGATTTTGGTTATTTATGCTCTATGCTTGGAACAGGAACGGGTACTTCAAGTTCAGATGGTCAGAGTTCTTCTGTTGCTGCAAGTGATAATTTGAGCAGGCATGAGGCTAGGATTCGAGCTGCTGCCTCTGCAGCGTCCATATATGGGAGATCATTTGTTTATCCATCTTCTGAAAACACACTAGTCCGGTATGTGTGAAAGCTCCCTATATCAAACGAATAGTACACAGCTTGCATAACAAAAAAAGATTCAGACACGAGTTTAATTATGGTGCCATGTCATCTTATGTCATATTGGCCTGTATTTATCATGTTAACTTTACTTTTCTGAGAAACAACTAACACTGAGATTGGACATATGAAGGTCTCAAGGCTATTCGGTGCTTCCTCAGGCAGAGCTAGAATCTCAGAAGAGAAGTCTTGAGTCCCAAATTGAGGTACGTTGATGTATAGTGTGTACTGAAAACTACCATTTTCAATAAGCGGCTCAAGAGTTTCTATCAAATGTTGTTTTCTTTGATAGGTGTTACAAAACCAACTACGGCTTCTAAAGGAGCCTGCAACTACTGTAGATATGAAAGGAAAGTCGGTTGTGGAAACTGCAGAGTAAAAACCTCAGAGAATGTGGGAAATGGTTTTTGGTAGAAAGGATTTTTAAAATGTACATGTTGGTTGTCTCTTGGAGCTAAGCTACACACGCTCTAACAACACTTGTCTCTTTCTTTTAGCGCTTTTCTTCAACTTCAACTATTTCTTTACGTTGGAATGTATTACCACCTCCCAAAACGTGATTACGTTTCAATCGCGCAAAGTTGCTTCTAAAATTACCATGATTACAATCCTTTTTTTGGTCTTGTTCATAATGCATTCTAGTATTTACGAATCCTCTAGTAATGTTGCGGATATTTACAAACCCACCTTCACAAGAAAGCTCGATCAGAAAACTAATACAAAAGCTTAGAATCAGAATTTTCAAATTTTCTATATGAATAAGTTGTCAGTTTATTGTTAGAGATGAGAGTGGACATTAAATTTGTAATTTAGATTTGGTGATATAAATACACTGAAGAGATAATACATAAAAACACATGTAAAAGATAATATTATAAATACATTATAGAAATTTAAAGTAGTTTTACAAAAAAAAAAAAAAAGTATTTGATAATACCTATTTATTTATCCAACATTTTTTTGTTATAAAATCTTTATAACTGTAAATTGTTTACATTCAGATTTTATTTATGATCTGATTTATATTTAGTACAAAAAATATAATGACATTAATATTCATTCATTATATTTAGAATAAACTTATATAATTAATTTAAATTATTGAACTTGAATTCCACCAAATTTGGTGAGAAATTAAGCATCCTAATTAATTTGTAAGCAAACACGTAATGCTCATAAATTTTGCATACTAAAGTCCAAATGGTTATATTTCTTTCTCGTATATAGATGTTCTAATTTGCCGACCCAAAGAAAAGAAAAAAAGCTTTTAATTTCATTGTCTCTTTTAGTGATCTTTGCAAGTGCTCTCTCTCTCTTCTCTTCCCCCAAATCGAATTCGAAAGGATGTGGGTGGAGATAATCTGCGCTCTCGCAATCTACAAACTCGTTCGCCTTTTCTTCTACAACGACGAGTTCTCCGACGTCGAAACCTCCGACTCCACCGCTCTCTTCTCCGTCGCTCACAGGTCTCTCTCTCTCTCCCTCTTTTGTTTTCTCCCCGATCTTCGATTTTATTATATCTTTCTAAATCGCAGACTAGAGAAGCTTCATGGGGGAAAAGCTTATGTAGGGCTTCGGATTCCAGATGCAGACACTTCTTCTAGACAAGATATCGATCTTGTTCTCGTCACTAAAGAGTATAATTAATTCTCTTATTATTATCTCTGTTTCAGCTATATTTATATGATATATAACTAAGTGATATGTTTGGTGTATAGACAAGTGTTGGTGATTGGTGTTATGAATCTCTCTGGGATTGTTACGGTAAGGAGTGATGGAAGCTGGGTTTGTGAAGGTGGGAAGCATCATTCCACTCACACCTACCCTGATCCTGTATGTTTTCACTTTCTTTTATTTTATTTTTGTATACATGAATCTATTCAAGTATGAACACTCAAAGAGAATGTTTTGGTATTGTTGTGGTTATGATTGTTGCTTTGAGTTGGTTGTGAGATACTTTGAGTTAGTAAAGCTGATTGTTATTATTTCTTGTCTTTTGCATTGTCGTTGCACATATCATTATTGTATGAATAATTTTTTTTTAAATCGAATGGCCAAAGTTGGTCTTTACGTTGGCAATAGACAATGCAAAGCTGACCTGCATCATCTATCTATCTATGCTACTTTTTTTTTCTAATTAGTAGTAGATTTTTTTTGTTTTTCAGCTGGCTGAAGTGAAGAAACAAGCTTCGGTTCTTGAGTCATATCTTGAGCAGAGGGGCGTTACTTTACTTGAAGGAAATATCTCTTGCAAAGTTGTCATTCCCAATCCTAATTTTCGGTATGTCTTTTCATGTTTCCTTCTGTGTTTGCAAAGAAACATCAATAGTCATTGCAGAACCTATTGAGTGTGTGTGGTCGTTGCCTGGAATTATATTTTTTGGTTGTTTTAGTGATGAAAAAACTTTTCTGTATCTGTTTATTTCAGTACAATGCATTCATTTCCGAGTGAGGTAATTACATACGAGGAGTGGCAACATCTGAAACCAGTCTCAAGAAACATACTTTCTGGTTGGGTTAAAGGCGCATTCAGCACAGGAAAAGATACGGACGACTCGTCGCATCAAAAACTTAACTTCATCCTTGGCTCGGCACCAGTGTGGGATAGGTAATAACCTCGTACATTTTCTGAACCCGTAAAGAGTTTTCTTGTAAAGGTTTGATTGTGATTTGCAGGGTGGAGCTTAAAAACAGCAAGATTGTGTTAGGGGAATTCCTTGAGTTTAAAGGAAAAGAGGAAGACACTTTGGCTTTGAGAGATATCAAAAGATCAAAAGTGGACCGTATCTCTATTCAGCAAACTAGCATGCTTGGATTCGGTAATTTTCTCACCTTTATACCTGCATCATTTGTTTCAATTTAATGTGTATTTGATTTAAATGGACTACTATCTTTAGCATTCAAAACAAAATGCATTTTATGCTTCAGCGTCTGTGTTTACAGAATTAAAATGTTTCATACTTTAAAATTCTGGAGTTCTTTATAAGGCTTTTCTTTTCTACATTTATGACGGAAACACAAATGAGACCTTAATCTGCTTAGTTTTTTGTTCTCAGTAATGTGATTCTGACTAATACTAGAATGTAGTTAATTAAAAAGATTTTTCTCTGGTTGCAGCTCCAACAAGGTTGCAGGTTCTGTACTCGTACAGGGACTACAGAACTGAAGGCAGTTCAGGATCAGAGACGAAGGAAGTGACAGTAAGGTCGAGCACCGAGGTTGTGTTCCAGCCACGCGACTCTGGAAAGATTAAGAAATTCAAGCTATCCTCCCTCCTTTCCGTTTCACTAAGTGCCTAACGACTGCTTCTGTCAGCAGATAAAGGATGTTAATGTCTATTATATGACTTACATAGACCAATCCTGAAATGAGTATATTATTAAGAGATATATCAGTTTTTTTTCATAGATAGTAATAAAATTAAACCACGAATTGTCCAGTTTTGCAAAGAGATCATCCTCCTCTACTTGTGACTGCTACTGCTGCTGCAGCTTGTACTCTTCTTTTTAAGCAGGTTTCCAAATTTCCGGAGCAAAGGTTTCTTCTTCTTCATCATATGTTGTTCCTTCAAGAGCAAATCTCCAGAGTCTTCTGTGTGGTCTGTTGAAGGGAACTGATCCAAGTTCTCACCACCTTCTTCTGTTTTCAACTCAACTTCCTCTTCCACAGAGTCGATCTCTGTTTCTCTCTCTGCAGATACTTCACTTCTTTCAATCTTGTAGCTCTCCCACATCTTGAACTCAGTCTCCACACCCTCTTTCTCTACTTTTCCTTCTTCAACACTATCAACTGCTCTATGAATTGCTTCCATTGGACTTTCTTGTACCTTATGTTCTCTGACATCGGTCTCTGTCTTTTCCTCCTCACTCCCGGAATCATTTACCTCAGAGAACTGAACCAAGTCATAATCGTTGTCAATGCCATTTCCAAGAACTGGTATCTCTTTGGTAGGAGAAGCTTCCTCCATTTTCACAAGAGAGGCAGCTTCCCTGCCCTTTAGCTCATTGTTATCCTGCATGGTAGTCTTTTCATCAATTAAATTCTCTTTAAGCTTCGACAACTCCTCTATTTTCCTTGCTGCTAAAGCATCACGTGATTTAAGCTCTTTGTTTTCTTGAGTAACTCTTTGAAACTCATTTTCTTTATCAAACCAACTTTGCTCAAGATGTAACAACTCATCAATCTTTTCCAAAGAAGAAGCTTCCTTGGCCTTAAGCTCCTCGTTTTCGTGTAAGACTCTCCGGAATTCGTTCTGCTTGTCAAGCAAACTCTGTTTAAGTTTTGTCAACTCTTCAATTCTCTGAAGGGAAGAGGCTGCTCCAGCCTTGAGCTTCTCGTTTTCAGCGATTGCGGCCTTCAGGTCCGTTTCTTTAAGAAGTAAACTCTTATTAAGATCTGATAACTCGTCTATGTTCTTGAGTGATGAAACCTTCTTGGACTTCAGCTCCTCATTTTCGCAAATGACAGCTTGTAACTCGTTTTCTTTCACGAGTAAACCTTTATTGAAGTTTGATAACTCTTCTATCCTCTTTTGGGATAGAGAGTCCTTGGATCTAAGGTCCTCAATCTCCATGAGCATACCGTGCAGCTCATTTTCTTTGTTAAGAAGATCCTCTTGCACCTTTGACAACTCCTCAATCTTCTTGAGATAAGCAGTCTCTCTTTCTTTGAGCTCCTCTCTTTCTTGTATGGAACCCTGGAGTTTGGATTCATGCATTTTTGACAACTCCTCAATCTTTTTAACATACGCAGACTCTCTCTCAGTTCCTCATTTTCCTGAACAGTCTGCAGTTTGGTCTCTTTCTCAACTAGGCTTTTATTCAAGCGCTCATTGGCTGCTGACAATTCTTCAATCTTCTTACGATAAGCAGCCTCCTTATCTTTGAAGCCATCTCTTTCTTGGATAATACTTTGCATATCAACCAAGCTCATATTCGCCTTTGACAACTCCTCAATCTTCTTCAGATGAACAGACTCCCTTTCTCTGAGCTCCTCAGCTTCTTGCTCAATGCACTGCAGTTTTGTTTCTTTATCCACCAAGCTATCATTCGCCGCTGATAACTCCTCAATCTTCTTGAGATAAGCAGCTTCACTTTCTCTGAGCCTTTGCAGATCCGTTACCTTATCAACCAAGCTATCATTCGCCGCTGATAACTCCTCAATCTTCTTGAGATAAGCAGCTTCACTTTCTCTGAGCCTTTGCAGATCCGTTGCCTTATCAACCAAGCTCTCATTGGCCACTGATAACTCCTCAATCTTTTTAAGATAAGCAGCTTCACTTTCTCTTAGTTCCTCACTTTCTTGATTTGCCATTGACAACTCCTCTATCTGCCTCAAATGAGCAGCTTCCCTTCCTTTCAGCTCCTCCGCTTCTTGAGTAATGCTCAACAGCTTGGTTTCTTTATTAACTAAGGCTTCTTTAACCTTTGATAACTCATCCATTTTCTCGAGTACAGAACTTTCCCATTCTCTGAGGCTCTTGTTTTCTGCCACGGCATTCTCCAACTCTTCTTCTCTGTCCAACAAGCTCTCTTTCAGTTTCATGCTTTCGGCTTTTGCTTCTCCAAGGGTTTCCTGTAGATACTTTATCTCCCCCTCAGCTTCCTTGAGATTCTTTTTGAGACTGGCTTCTTCGCTTTCTTTGAGCAGATTCATCAACTTGCTTACTTCTTCATGCAAAGACGAATTTTCCTCTTCTGATTTCGTCACAAGTCCCATCAAATGAAGCTCTTTCTGTTCCCACACGGCCTTAGAGTTCTCAAATTTGCTATCTAGATCGCTTTTAAGACTAGCATTTTCTGTTTTTACTTCCTCAAGCATTTTTTCATACTTTTCATTTGTCTCCTTCAAACTTTCAACTTGGGCTTCACAGCGCTCGAGCTCCTCATGTGCTTCCTTTGCTTCCTTAGATGCTTTCTGCAAAGCCAAAGCTAAGCTCTCCACTTCTTTCTTGCTCGTCTCTTCTTCCATCTTACATCGCTCCAACTCTACTGAAAGTTCCTTTTCATTTTCCAATGCTTTTGTTTTCTCTTCTTGAGAGATCTCAAGCTCAGATTTAATTGATTCAACAACCTTTTCCATCTTAGAAGCTTCTTCCTTTGCTATGCAAACTTGTCGTCCATATTCCTCAAGATCTTTTCTCTGCGCTTCAATTGTTCTCTCTAGATCTTCAATCTTTTCTTTTTGTGCAGCATTGTCTGACCTCGTCTCATGCAGCACCTGATTACATTCAGCCAGCTGCTTCATAAAAGAGTCCATAGACTCTGAAGCAGATCTGTTTGATTCTTCAAGTTGCTTTTCAAGTTCATGAACCTTCTTCTTCCATCCTTCTGCTAAAATATTAGCAGAAGATTCAGCAGTTTTAGCAGCTTCCATAGACTCTAAAGCAGATCTATTTGATTCTTCAAGTTGCTTTTCAAGTTCATGAACCTTCTTCTTCCATTCTTCTGCTAAAATATTAGCAGAAGATTCAGCAGTTTTAGCGGCTTCCATAGACTCTAACGCAGATCTATTTGATTCTTCAAGTTTCTTTTCAAGTTCATGAACCTTCTTCTTCCATTCTTCTGCTAAAATATTAGCAGAAGACTCAGCAGTTTTAGCAGCTTCCATAGACTCTGAAGCAGATCTATTTGATTCTTCAAGTTGTTTTTCAAGTTCATGAACCTTGTACTTCCATTCTTCTGCTAAAATATTAGCAGAAGATTCAGCAGTTTTAGCAGCTTCCATAAACTCTGAAGCAGATCTATTTGATTCTTCAAGTTGTTTTTCAAGTTCGTGAGCCTTCTTCTTCCATTCTTCTGCTAAAATATTAGCAGAAGATTCAGCAGCTTTAGCAGCTTCCATAGACTCTGAAGCAGATCGATTTGATTCTTCAATTTGCTTTTCAAGTTCATGAACCTTCTTCTTCCATTCTTCTGCTAAAATATTAGCAGAAGACTCAGCCATTTTAGCAGCCTCTAGATCAAAGTTCAGCTTCTCAATAGATCCTTCTTTCTCTTTCATCCTAGTCTCAATGATGCTAACCTTATCAAGCTCCTTTCTCAACATTTCAATTTCAGACTTGAGTTCAGAAACGACCTCATTACCTTCAATAGCTTCCTTCTCTTCCTTTGAACTGAGATATGCCTTTAACCGGACCAATTCAGAAGAAAGAATCTCAACCTTCTCAGCCTGGATTTCAGCAATCTTGGTGGCTTCCTCTGCATTGCTTACCGCCTTAGTTTTAGTAACAGCCAGTTCATGTTTAATCCTCTCGAGTTCTTCTGTGGTAGAGAGGAGAGCTGACATGTCCAACGCATGCTGGTTCCTGATAGACTCTAGCTCATTCCTCGACGTTTCTTCCTTTTCTTGAACAGCTTCAACAGCTCGGAGTTTCTCGACCTGGAAACTCTCCCCAGCTTGTTTCTGAGCTGCCAATGCCTCTCTGAGTTTCTCATTGGCTTCTTTAAGATCATCTACGGCTTTAGCTTTGTCTTTATTGAGCAATGCTATTTGCTCCTCAGCTTTCTTCAAATCCTCCTGAATTTTAGTCAGCTCCGAATCTTTTACTGACCGTGATGGCACTTTCTGAAAATGTTTAACAGAAGATTAGTCTTTTTTTTTTCACAAGCAGAAAATAAAAGAAACTGTGTTTTGAGTTTGGAACCAAAAAAAAGGATAAATACTTACTTCGGGTGTAGGAAGTCTAGAAGTCCGAGCAGGCTTTGAGTTAACTGTCTGAGGAGAACGAGTGTTTGGGATGGAGGAAGAGGAAGAAGTGCCATCGGATTTAGAAGCGTTGAGTTTACTCAATCGTGGAGGAGGTGGCGACGGTTTACGACGAGGTGTCTCCATCAAACCGGTTCTAACATAAATGGACAGACATGTTATGATCAAATACAAATATCAAAGATTTAATAAATCAACTGCATTCCAAGAAATTCAAGATTCAACCAAAAAATACATATCCAGTATCAATTTCCACTAGATGACAAATGATTCAAGAAGAAGTTCTCAACCATGAATCTGGATATCAGATTTTACATTTTTGTAAACAAGTAAAAATTGGAAACTTGTTATGAAATCAATGAAGAAACAAAGTATCTGACAAAGTACAGAACATCTCAGATCGAATTCTGTTTCAAATTCAATAGTTTGGTAATGAAAGGAAAAAAAAGGTACTAACTTGGTTACTGACGCCATTGCCACCAAAGAGGAGCTTCAAAAGAAAGCAGACAAACTGTAAATGAAAGCAGAGCAGAGCAAAGCGCTGCTAAAGTCCCAGCATTGCTGCGAGAAGGAAGATGGATCGATGTCAGGGTCTGATTGTAATTCTCGAAATTTAGCTGTAAACCCCGAATATAAAAAGAATGAGTAAATGGGTTGCGTTGTCTCAGTAGTGGTCACCCTCTCTCCATTGCAAAAGGATTAAAAAAGAAAACTCCAGATTAAAAAGTTTGTAATAATGGATACATGTCAGGTTTCAATATTGGGTAGGGGTGGAAATGGAACCAACCAAATCCAAACCCAATTTCAAACGCAATTTGGTAGAATTCTTATCAACTTTTTTTTTTTTTTGTCACTGAGAATTCTTATCAACCCAGATGGTTAATATTTCTGACCCCTTTTTTTGGTGAGTATATTTGTCTTAAAAACAAGACAAGTGAGCAATTTTGATTGGATATGGAATGGGAGAAGTATCCAAAATGCACATGTCTACATAACCGTGAGTGAAGTGGCATATGTGGACCAACAACAATTGTTGGCTTTATTAAATAATGGATGTGCGATGTAGGCAGAGAATAAATCTCAAACGATCTGATTTTATACAACTATGTTTACTTTTGTTTGTTTTTTAAGAAGAAGAGTTGAGATCCACTGGAGTTGGGATCATGTGGACTTCATGTGCCCTAATTATTATTTTCGATCTACTTTGATAAATTCTGACATACCTAGGAATTGCATTGAAGTTCTTATTTACGAAACTAACTACAATGGTAATTATGTTTAATTAACGGGCAAATCCAAAAACAGTTCTTTCTAACGTTTGTGGTAGAGAGTTACTAATAAATAAAAAAATTCATTAAAATAATTTCAAGTATATAAGAATACATTTGAAATTAGACTAAGCATTTTAGACTAGTGATTTTGTTCTAAGGGATAGAAAAAGGGCAATTTTAGTTGAGCTGTGATAGAGTCTTATGAGCTAAATATGTGTGACAACTACTCTGTAGCTCAGTGGATGGTTAGCATTGCAAAACGCTTTCCACTCCGCGAGTTCGAGTAATGTCACACATTGACGGTGGTGGTGGTGGAGGACTGTTAGTGATGATGATATACGACGATTAGTTTGAACCTAAACCCTAATCGACCAAATAAGGTATTCTAAAATACCTTTTTAAAATTAAATAATTTAACCATTTCGTAAATTGAGCTTTTTATCTCCAGATCCACCACAACACTGAAATCGAAAAAAAAAAAATCAAACAACCAAAAAGCTTGCTTACGAAGCTAATACAAACCTGTTTGTTGAATCGAATCGCCATGGAGGTTGAGAAACGGATCTGAGTTTTTTTTTTCTCCTCTTCTCGCGACGAAAGACAGAAAAAAAAAGAGATTTGGACTTAGCGATGGGTTACGGATTAGCGATCTACGAAGGAACGGTGGTGATCGCATCACTGTGTCTCTTAGGCTGGGCAGGTCTATGGTTCCTGAATCGGAGACTATACAAGGAATACGAAGAGAAGCGAGCTTTGGTTCAGATCATTTTCAGCATCGTATTCGCCTTCTCTTGTAACTTGTTGCAGCTCGTTCTCTTCGAGATCATACCTGTGCTCTCTAGAGAGTAAGTCCTAACTTCGATTTCTTCTAGATTGTTTCCTTACTTACTATATATGTAGGCTCTTTTTGCAATTTGATTGTGGATATGATTGTGAATTGGCAGGGCAAGGATGGTAAATTGGAAGGTGGATCTCTTTTGTTTGATACTTCTTCTCGTTTTCATGTTGCCTTATTACCATTGTTATTTGATGCTTCGTAACTCTGGTAAGCAGTCTTGTTTAGAATGCAATCATTATAATCAGTGTAGTAAAAATTGGTATAGGCCTTAAAATTGGTTTAGGCGCCCGTCTAAACACTAATCCTGTATATGGCGTGCCTACCGCGTAGTAATTGTTTGAACATTGATTATAATTGGTTAATGATTATCCTAGAGTACATAGCTTCCTGCTACATTTTTTTTGGTGACTGTCTATAATTTGTCAACCTAAACCAACATTTTCAGGTGTAAGAAGGGAGCGTGCCTCTGCTGCGGCTTTCTTATTCTTGACAGCATTTCTTTATGCTTTCTGGCGTATGGGAGTTCATTTTCCCATGCCTTCATCTGATAAAGGTATCATAACATTCTCATTAGACAAAAGAATGTGTTTGTGGTCTCTTGAGTTTTGTTGACTTAATGTTCTGTTTCTTGCAAGGTTTTTTTACCATGCCTCAGCTGGTCAGTAGAATTGGGGTCATTGGTGTGACCTTAATGGCTGTCTTATCTGGATTTGGAGCTGTTAATTTGCCCTACAGCTATATTTCCCTCTTTATTAGGTAACACTATATTTCCCATAACTGCTATATACTGGTCTACGTTTTTTCCTTTTCTGGTTTATACTTAATCCACCAATAGAGTCTTTTCCGTAAGCTGCAATTCAATTGGTTTGAATAATAAAGCATACATGCCGTGTATATACTGTCCCCGCCGGCATGTTCTTCCATTAGATGGTGAGAACAAAAAATGTGCATGATAGAAAAACTAGGAAAAAAAATGCTGAGTTGATGTGTAACAATATGCTTAGAAATGCACCACATGGGATACTTGCATGAGATATCTCCATTCTCCAGAGGCTTGTCACTTCACTGATTGGGAATCTGCTGGATTGTCGCTTTCTAATAGCATTTTTCTTTCTCTCTTTCACACACATTTAGGGAGATTGGAGAAGCAGATATAATATCTTTGGAAAGGCAGCTGATGCAGTCAACTGAGACGTGCATAGCAAAGAAGAAGAAGATTATTTTGTGTCAATTGGAAGTGGAACGAAATCTAGGATCAGAAGAGGTTGGTTATTGTTTTATCCTCTAGCACAATTTATATGATGCGTCCCTTCTGTGAGTGGATACTTGAATTCTTGCTCTTTAGTTTCATTACTGTTATCCCAAACTTCTATATAATATATTTCTGGTGATTAGTTTAACAGATTCATGCTCTAGTATCTAATTTTTTCCTTAAAATAATTTGCCTTCATTTCAATCTGGTAAGTTTGGCTGCTAACCATGTAATGCTTTTTCCCCGCAGAACCAAAAAGGTAGCTCTTTCTTTAGAAGAATTGTTGGGACTGTTGTGCGATCGGTTCAAGATGACCAAAAGGAGCAAGGTCAGTTTACGTGTTTTGTTTTTGAGGTGTTGTGCTGCAAAAAAAAAAAATGCATAGATACTGAAACGAGTAGTTCCGGATTCCTTAGTTTGAAATAGTTACTAGTGTGAGAAACGCTGACAGTGATAGTTAATCTTAGCGGGTTTGGCTTTAGGAGATTGAGACTGGTCATCGTAGTGGAACAAGGACCTTTGTTAGTTTACTCTACTTGGGGATGTAGTGTATTCCCTACTTTGATGGTGCTGTTAGTAATTCGATCAACTAGAACAACATAAGGGAACTTTACTGTCCTTTCTGTTATCTAGAAGACTCGAAACCCAAAAAGTAACATTGATTCTTACTACAGTGCGAAGAGTAAGAATCGAAGATTACGTCTGTTTTTGTCCATATAAATGTTGAGTTGACCATTTATCTAGTACAGAAGAATTGTATTCAAGTACCACTTGAAACCATTTTTTCCTTGTTTTTGGGATTAATTTTTGTTAAGTTGTAAACAGAAGTACTACTTGAAATCATTTTTCCTTGGTTATTGGGATTACTTGTTGGGTGACTGAATTAAATATTATATATATAAGTTTTCTGGTGATATCCCCCAACTTATTGATACTTTTTCTTGACAAGAAATAAAAATACTGGAGGCGGAGGTGGAAGGCTTAGAAGAGCTGTCAAAGCAGTTATTTTTAGAAATATATGAGCTTCGCCAAGCAAAGGTTCGCTTTCAGCTGATTTGGTTTTGATTCGTTACAGAATTATACTCACTGACTTGGTGGTGACATCTTACGTGTTTGGCTTTTTTATTCTTGATATTGCTATTTCTGGTGGTCTTTTTGGGTTGTGATACTCTTTTTACTTGTGCTCGGACTTTATCCTATTTTCAGGATGCAGCTGCCTTCTCTAGAACTTGGAGGGGTCATGTGCAGAACTTACTTGGTTATGCATGTTCCATTTATTGTGTGTATAAAATGCTGAAGGTAATTTTCTGTATCTCTAACGAGGTTCTAGCTTTTTATTTTGTAAACTCTACCCTATCCTCCGTCCTCGTATCAATTGCAAGAGAATTTACACTGCTTCGCATGCGTATGAAATAGCTCTTATAATCAGTGCTGGTTTCATTCATAGATACTTATGGCATGAACCAAATTCAAGAAGCTGCCTTAATTTTTCTTTGTGTTATTTACTGTCCTTTGAAGAGTGTGTCGGTATCCACGTGGGTAGCTTTGGGTTTGAATGGTAACATATTTGTAGGAGGAAATAGATTCCGGAATAGTTCCTCAATGATACAACTGTGCCTCTCAGTTAGATATTTTCTTTTTTCTCTTTTAATCATTCTTTTTATAAATAAACGGAACAACCTTCTTCGAACTTTTATCATTAAAATTACATATTATATTCATACGACAAATATATTCCGTTCAGTCTTGAATAACTACTCTTAATTGCGCTTTTATTGATGTTCATCTCTTTGTAACCCTTTGAAGCGTTATGCTGTAAGATATCAGTTGATTATTAGATTTCGACAGTTCTTCATGCTTCTTCATTTAATTATCTTTATCTGAAACCCTTTATGCCGTGCGGTTCGGAAATAGTTAATAGTTTATATATGGAAAACTCTACCTTACTATATACATTGTTTTCTATGTCCCTTGTTAAAATTCTAATTGTAACCGTGAACAAGTAACTCTAGTTTCTTCATTTTTTTCGTTCTGTTTTGTGCAGTCACTACAAAGTGTCGTCTTCAAGGAGGTATTCACTTGTTTTAAGTTCATTTACATCATTACTACCCATTAATGAATCATTTTGTGTGCCTCTTACTACATGAAATTGCTAGTAATCATTTTGTTTACAGGCTGGTACAAAAGATCCTGTTACAATGATGATCAGCATATTCTTGCGGTGGTTTGATATAGGAGTAGATGCTGCATTGCTCTCACAGGTTTTTTGTTACTCTACGTTTGCTATCAGATATATGTGAAATATATGCCAACTTCTCAATTTATATGCGTATGGTTTGCTGGATTCTACAACTTTGTTCTAACCCTGTTTATTTCCTTCGTGTTTGCAGTATATTTCCCTGTTGTTTATTGGGATGTTGATTGTGATTTCTGTAAGGGGATTCTTGACGAATTTGATGAAGGTGAATTATGATTCTAATTTCTCAATTGTTTTCATTTTCATTCGTGTGTCTTTATGTTATCATCTATGCAATCAAGCACTTCCGTTTTTTTTTCGAATTTAGAAAAGCAACTTTCATATAATTCTCATGCAGTGTCCTTGATGTCTTCCTGAGTTTGAGTGCGGTCTAGTATTTGTGTTAATGAGTTGGAGTATGTGGATGGTGCAGTTTTTCTTTGCAGTGTCGAGAGTGGGAAGTGGGTCTTCAAGCAATGTGGTGCTTTTCCTATCTGAAATCATGGGGATGTACTTTTTGTCTTCCATCCTTCTTATCAGAAAAAGCTTGAGAAATGAGTACAGGTACGCAAAGGAAGATCGTTATATCATTTAAGGTAGTTGATGGCTTGTCTTGGTTAGAGTTTTAGTACTACGTTTGTGGAACTATCTACTTGTTGAGAAGCAACCTTTGTAGCACTGAATGCGTCAAGAGTCCATACTTGCTGCTGAGTTTAAAAAATGGAAACTAGAATCTGAAAGTATTTGTGGGTGGTAACTCTTTGTAGGGGAATCATAACGGATGTATTGGGTGGAGATATACAGTTTGATTTCTATCATCGATGGTTCGATGCAATTTTCGTGGCCAGCGCCTTTCTTTCTCTCCTGCTGCTTTCTGCACACTACACTTCACGGCAATCTGATAAGCACGCCATCGAGTAAGTTTAGTAAGTTTTCCTTGGTGCTCTATTGGCCTACACAAAGCTTGAAATCAAGTTACCATTAGTAATGGTTGCATAATATACCCGTGGCTATTTGTTTATTGTTGACACTTCTGAGAGAGATTTAGCTAATTAGTTCGAAACTCCATACATACACTCTTGTACCATTAAGTAATACATACATATGGCCTTTATCATACTTATATTCTTTTTGTGGCTACAAGAATAAAGCAATATCCAAATGCTGATCCAAAACGTTACAATGCCAAAACAAACATCACCAATGACCATTTGAACCTTAGAATATATGGTTGAATAAGAAGAATATCATATCAAGTTAATACCAACATTTAATGAAGAGCAGAAGAATCATTGACTTGATTGGTCTGATTCAACTTAATTTCTTTTGTATTTCATTCTGATTTTGAATCTTTGATTACAAAGCTGCTAATAAATATGGATTATTAAAACAGAATTACTAACATAACTTAAGCGGGAAAACAGATTTTTATTCCAAAAACAAATTTCCCACAAAAAAATGTATAAAAAACTCTAAAAACTATTTCGTAAAATTATGATATCAAACAAACTCCCTTAAATACACAGACCTACCTATATATATGTTACAATAAACTATACATAAAAAAAAAGTAAATTTGTATTCACCAAATCTATGGGCACGAGTTAACTTAACAGTCTGGTAACAATCATAAAAATTAAATAGCGAAGGCGCAGAGAGCGTGGATGCCAGCGGCAAGCACATGGTATAGAAGCGAAGCAAAGCATAAAACTCACACCGACGTCGAGTCAACACGCGTGTCAACTCAAGTCTCTCTCTCACACACACATAAATTTAGCAAAATTCCTAATTAAGATTCACCACTCTCCTCATTCGTCGCTCCAAATCTAACTTTCTCTCTTCCGTTTCCTAATTAAAAAGAAATTCACCAAAAAAAAAAAAAAAATCATTTGGTGTCGGTGCTATCTCCTCTCCAAGCCTCTCCTCAGGTCTCCTCATTTCCCCCTGCATTTTCCATTCTCCTCTCTGTTTTCACTTGAATCAACTAGAATTACCATTTCTATCAAAAAATAAAAAAACGCTTAGCATTATTAGATAGATCCTTACGGTTATAAGCATTAGCATTTTGATTCTCTAATTTTATAATACAGATCCAACGATGACGATAACCAACGGCTCAACCGATAACAAACCATTCCGGATCTTCGTCGGTTACGATCCACGCGAAGATCTCGCATACCAAGTCTGCCGCCACTCAATCACCAAACGCTCCTCCATCCCCGTCGAAATCACTCCCATCATCCAATCAGATCTCCGCGCCAAAGGCCTCTACCACCGCGAACGCAACAACCTCGAGAGCACCGAGTTCTCCTTCACACGCTTCCTCACCCCGCACCTCTCCGACTACCAAGGCTGGGCGATGTTCGTCGACTGCGACTTCCTCTACCTCGCCGACATCAAGGAGCTCGTCGACCTAATCGACGATAAATACGCGATCATGTGCGTTCAGCACGATTACACTCCAAAGGAAGCCACGAAGATGGACGGCGCCGTGCAGACGGTTTACCCGAGGAAGAATTGGTCCTCCATGGTGCTTTACAACTGTGGACATGATAAGAACAGACTTTTGACTCCGGAGGTTGTGAATACGCAGAGCGGCGCGTTTTTGCATAGGTTTCAGTGGCTTGAGGATGAGGAGATTGGATCTGTTCCGTTTGTTTGGAATTTTCTTGAAGGGCATAATAAGGTTGTTGAAGGGGAGTCTAGTACGGTGCCTAAGGCTGTGCATTATACTAGGGGTGGGCCTTGGTTTGAGGCTTGGAAGGATTGTGAGTTTGCTGATCTTTGGTTGAGTGAGATGGAAGAGTATAACAAGGAGAAGAAGAAGAAAGAAGGGAATTAGAGAGAAAGGAAGGTATGTTTTTACTTTGTGCCAATGCAAGTTATATGGTTTTTTTGCTTGGTTTTGTAGAGCCAGGGGGATTTACTAGTCTTGTGAATTGGCTTTGGATTTGTTGTTTTGGAATTCTTTTAAATTATGAGCTACACTAATATACCAATATTTAAGATCTTATGGTATGATAATAACCTATTCGTTTTTTTTGTTTCTTTGTTTGTTGGACTTTGTACCTTGTAATGATATTTTATTTGTAATTTGAATGAAGCAACTTATTTTTAATTGGTTTTATCATTAGCTATATATTGTTGTCCTTGATTTTGATGTTGTGACTCAAGCATGCACATACCAATAGTAAATTTGCTCAAACGTTCTTTATTGATAGAAGATGAGATGAAACTAAAATAGCTTATTGAAGCTTTATTCATAAACAAAGAAACTAAAGGAAAACGCTTTATGAGTTGTCACCAAGTTAAAGAAGATTGTATTTGATTCGTAAATACTACTATGAAAGAAGAGGCTGCTTGTCACCAAGATAAGGAAGATTGTATTTGATTCATAAATAATATGAAAGAAGAGGCTGCTTAAAGCGCAGCCATAGTTGCTTCATACATTGATATAACATATCAACTTATGTATGACAATGTCTTGGCTTAGTCTTGTATACTCTAATATTAGGAACCTCAATATCTACTATAGGCAATTGATATGAGGATAGTTGGAGTCTCAGTATCTACTATAGGAAATGAGACAAAAATAAATGAGAAACACAAATCAATAACACATTAAGATCAAACGAAACTGCTGAAGATACCAAATGTAATTTCCTTTCAAGTTTTTAACGCCTGGTATATCTACAATATAACTAGACCAGCATACAACGGCGACTGTTTCAGCTGAATATATAAAATTCTAGTTTTTCTTTTTTTTGTTTTTTTTTTGGGAAACGAGGGAATATTTGATAAAAACATGTATTCACTGACCTTGAAATTTAAGATATCTTTCTCCAATATTGGGATAAGGCATTTCAACTTGAAAAGAGCAAAAGATTCCTAAACATATCATATCAATACGCTGATTCCCGATATGAACGACTTTAATTTGTAAAACTGGAAACATAACTTTCGAAAAAAATATCAAACAGTACTCCAATACGCCAATTCCAGATGGGAACTCATCCATAGTGGAACTATGTCCAGCGGACTACATTCAAAGTAGTAGTTGTCACAATGACCTTATTTTAGCTCTCCTTGCTTACTTCACGTCTTCTAACAATATTTGTCTGCTACAGACTTTCTACTAAATCACAAAAAAAGTTTAACTGGACCAATTTTGGTCGTATCCACTTGGACAAAAATGTGAACGAACAAGAAGATAAACCATTATTGATCAAAAACGAAGTTGCGAAAAGAAAAAAATGATAAACCAAAGTAAAATATGGATGTACATGATTGGCCCTTACCCCAATACATATAGCATCAGAAAAGTTTGTGGCAGTAAAAGTTTATCAGACTGTACCAACAGCATAATTTCAGACGCAGTCACGTATCTTGTCTCTCCACCCTCCATTAAGTGAGGACTCTCGCACTCTCCCCAATAAGAGATATAATTAATAATATATATATATATATATATATATTTTTGAAAAATGTATAGTAAGAATACTAAATTATGTATTATTTATTATAAAAATAGATAGATAATAATAAGCTAACTTAGTTAAATTGATAGTCATATTTATATTTCTAAAGGCATCTCCAACCACGGACATCAACATCAAATTTGACGTTGATATTACATTAAATTAGATAATTTCATGTCAGACAGTTTTTTTTGGTTTTCGAATCATAACACCAATTTCCCAACGAAAAAATCTTATATATTATCTTTTAGTATTATTAAATTAATATATTGATAAATATTTATATGATCACACATAGATATTATGTTTATTAAAATTATGTAATTATGTTTATTAAAATTATGTAATTCTGTTTATAATAATTATTTAGATTTATATTTATTGTTAAGCAATATATTAATATTTTATTTATTTTATATAAAATAATAGTAGAATTAAAATTTCAAACTATTAAATATGAAAATTATATAATAAATTAATTGATTAATTTTGAGAAAAATTGTATTATTTTTTTGGGCAAAGAATTTGTATTAGTTAGTAATACAAATGAACTATATTATAATATGAAAAATAAATATGATATTTTAATATTTGGTGAATTTAACAGTAATATATACAATTTTAATTATTTACTATTAAATCTAACTCTGTAATCATTTAATATTTTTAATTGTTCATTATTGTTTAATTATAACTTAAATAAATATTATAATTGATATTTGAAATTTTAAATATAAAAGTTCTTTAATTTTCGTTTGACCTAAATGAGGATACTCAATTTAGTAATATATTAATTTAAATAAAATAATATAAAAGATTTTAATTTTAATTATGTTAAATTAAAATTAAAAATATAAATAATTATGTTCAATAAAATGAACTAGTTATTAAAATTAATTGAACATATTATTAAAAAGGATAATAAAGCATGTATTTTAAATATATCATGTGATGAATAATGTTATTCTAAATTTGGTGTAATAATATTAACATAATATCAATTTTGATGAGATAATATAAATTCTTTAGTTAGAGATGAAATTATACCAAATCTAATATTTTATATTTTTTTGGAATTGGCTTATCAAACAGATAAAAATGTATTGCACAGTTAAGAAAAATTACATGACAATATAGACAGTACGTACATCCTTTATATATGGAAAGATAAATATTTCTAGGTAACGACTTTTAGTTTAGTGATTACCTGTGTGTTTCTTAGAAAACTTATAAAATTTTAGTTAAAATACTTTTCTAATTTTTTTTTATTTTAGGCACCACTGTGGTATAAATATTTGGATTATCAATTACACTTTAGATATTAATTATTGTAAAACTAAAAAAAATTAGATATTTAATTACACTTTAGTTACTGCAGTTATAATATTCATGTGTACATTCGGTTTTGAATTTAGTTCATGTTCAATTTTTAGACACTGGAAGCAGAAACCATTTAGATATATTGATTATTCAGTTAAATTTGGCTAGATTTCTTTTCGGTTCTAGATAATTAATCCATACCTTAAAAATGAATATAAAAATAAAATAACAATAAAGAAAACATAATCCCATACACAGAGCCACATTTCATTGTTTCTCCAAACCTCTCATTATAAATGAAAGCGACTCTCGCACCCTCCTCTCTCACAAGCCTTCTCCCAAGGCACAACAAACTATCTTCTCTCCGTTCACCACCGTCGCTACGGCCACCATCCTCAGCCTTAATGACGACGAAGACGGCATCACGTGGAAGCGTGGCTGTGACAGCTGCTGCTACCTCCTCCTCCGCGCTGCGAGAAGGCATAGCGGAGTTCTACAACGAGACGTCAGGACTATGGGAGGAGATTTGGGGAGATCATATGCATCACGGCTTCTACGATCCTGATTCCTCTGTTCAACTTTCTGATTCCGGTCACCGGGAAGCTCAGATCCGGATGATTGAAGAGTCTCTCCGTTTCGCTGGCGTTACTGGTTCGATTCTCATGCTATACACACTTTGAGTTAGTTTGATACGTTGTTTTTTTTTTCTAACCTATGAATACGTAGTTAAGATACGTAATTGGTTATGAATAATAAACAAAGCTATAAATGAACACTTTCTAGATTTATTATAAACAATTGTTACAAACAAAATACTTTTTGAACTAGTTAAAATATGTACAAATGTTTAGTTTTGATTTGTTGGTAGAAATGAGTAGAGGGATGTTTGGAATCAAGATAAAGCCTTTCTTTTATCCGTTGGGAGGGGCGGCTTACAGTAAGCCACGTTCCATCCAGAAGCACACTCGTTCCCTATCTAATCATTTTTCGGCATAATTTCCCAATTATTATTCCCGTAGTTTTTTTTTACTTTTAAATTTACTCTTTTAACTCTTTTTTTTTTTTTTTGCATATGAATTATGAAACACGAGGTGATTTTCACAATATACAACATACATAGATGCAACTCAGAGTTAGATATACAAAGGCTCTTGAATTTTGTCATTAATATGTAATTTACTTTATTTTAAAAGAAATATATAATTTGATGTTTTTTATTATTAGGTATGGATTTTTTTGGTTTTCAATAGCTATTTCGTTTTTCTATTTTTTTTTCTAGAGATTTATGAACCATTCAGTTATATACAAAATGCGGTCCGGTGTCTATTCAATTATTTTGGTTTTGGTTTTGGTTTGGTCCATATTGGTTTTAGTTCGATTTCGGTTTTCAAGTAATTTTATAAGTTGAATATGTTGATGATAAATAAGTTCTTCCACATCTCAAAATAAACAAAAATTTAAACTGAATTAGTAATGTGAAGTTGATGAAAATATCTTTATGTTTGGATCGTTGTTGTTAATATTATTATAAACACATAATTTTCTTAAAGGGTACACGAACTTGAGTTCATTTCATTAAAATGATCTGTGGTTGAAAAATTGCAGAAGAAGAGGAGAAAAAGATAAAGAGAGTAGTGGATGTTGGGTGTGGAATCGGAGGAAGCTCAAGGTATATTGCCTCTAAATTTGGTGCCGAATGCATTGGCATCACTCTCAGTCCCGTTCAAGCCAAGAGAGCCAATGATCTCGCCGCCTCTCAATCACTCTCTGATAAGGTGTCTTTCTTGTACATTTTGACCACTCTTTCTGTGGAATCTGATCTAACTGATTACGCCATTGGGACCAGGTTTCCTTCCAAGTTGCAGATGCGTTGGAACAACCATTTGAAGATGGTAAATTTGATCTTGTGTGGTCAATGGAGAGCGGTGAGCATATGCCTGACAAGGCCAAGGTATACTCTACCCTAGCTCACCATATTCTTTATACTGGACTTAGTAGACCATATGGTCCATATCCATCTTTTGATGTCAATGTGTTCCATTAATTTTTAAATAAACAAAAGAAGAATATGAGAGTAAAATGTTGTTAAAATTATCTAACAAATATTATGTAATATCACGTTTTTATATTTAGACTTGGTATTTTGTGTGCCTCTGTTTTTTTGGCCTACTCTGTCCTATTCTATTTCGGATGATGCTCTGTTTTATCATTTAATAAAATGTAATTCTCACTTCTCAGTAAAAAAATGATATGAAAACAAAAAGTTCTGAAAATTATTAAATATAATTATGGCATGGTTTCCTTTAGTCTAAACTTTATAGGAAGACTCCTTCAATCTTCGTTGTTGTAAGTATATTTATTGTGTGTGCGAAAATGATTGTAGTTCGTGAAGGAATTGGTACGTGTGGCGGCTCCAGGAGGAAGGATAATAATAGTGACATGGTGCCACAGAAACCTCTCCCAAGGGGAAGAAGCTTTGCAGCCATGGGAGCAGAACCTCTTGGACAGAATCTGCAAAACATTTTATCTCCCGGCTTGGTGCTCCACCTCTGATTATGTCGAGTTACTTCAGTCCCTCTCGCTCCAGGTTATTATACTAGTCACTCTCCAATATGCCAAAATCAGTACTTGGAGCTAGTTAAGTAGTGTCTCAAATATATATGTGTGTGTGTTTGTAGGATATTAAGTGTGCAGATTGGTCGGAGAACGTAGCTCCTTTCTGGCCAGCGGTTATACGAACTGCATTAACGTGGAAGGGACTTGTGTCTCTGCTTCGTAGTGGTATGTTGTTATTTACATTTAATGAATTCAAATGTTTATAAGATTAGAACTAAGGTCGGTGTGGGTATTGGATAAACACAGGTATGAAGAGCATAAAAGGAGCATTGACAATGCCATTGATGATTGAAGGGTACAAGAAAGGTGTGATTAAGTTTGGCATCATCACTTGCCAGAAGCCTCTCTGAGTTTAAGCTAAACAAAAAAAAAATTGTCGTTTTAGTACTTTTCAGTGAATTGATTCCTATGATATAGGAGATTGAATAAGAGTCACGTGAAAAATGTGGATGCATGCGATCCCTTCACGTCATTAATGTTCTCTTGGCTCCGTTGTTTATTTTAGATAAGATTTGAATTGTTGTTGCGTCTTCTCAAACGGAAATCCGTGTGGTCCAGTCTTCCAGACATGTGGTTGTGTCTGCCTTGAAATAAGAGACCATCATGGCCTTGATTTGATCAAGGTTATGGACTCTAGAACCATTAACTATTACGCAGATAAATAACCATGTTCCTGGCATAGTTTACAAGCCCTGCCCTATGATAAAATTTTAAGTCACCATACTTATACCACTAAACTTTTGATCTCTGTTGATAAAATTTCTTGAGTTGCCACAAAAAAGTTCTATTTCTGACGAGCAACGCATTCTTCCCTGAATAAAGAATCCGTTGGAGAAGTAAGAGAACGCCTAAACAGATTCCAAATGAGCTAGTTCCCATGTCATTTTGTTTTGTTGGATATTACCAAAATCCTCCACATATTTAACTTCTGACAAACCAGCTTAACCTCCTACACTCTTGATTCCAAGCTTCAGTGATTGTTCTTATGAATGATGGATGAGTTGATAAGAGAAGTATTTTGAAGCCCTTTTTTGAAAATAAAAAAGAAAAGAAAAAAAGATAGCAATAGAGCCCTTTTTTTACTTCATTCAGTTTGAGTGACGGTACTAACGATACATGAAAAACCATCCAAATCTCTAGGAAGGTCGAAGATGGCAATAGAGTCCGTAAACTCAGCCATACTTGATACTTTAACTTGTGAATAATATATTTTTTTTTTTTTGTAAAAGTGAAAAATTTATTAGATGAGTCCTACAATACGTGACGGTCCGTAAATGGTTCTGTTTTTATTTTTATTTTAAAAAAAAAATTTGGGATATTGATGCTCTTATATTAGCAAAAATATCAAATACAAAATCTTGTTCCATTGCCATCGTATCGTTAGATAATATCTGGCCATCAAATTCAAGCTTGCAAGGCCCATTATATAGTGGGCCTACAATTCAAAGCCCAGATCCACGAAAGTCGGTCGATATCGATAATTAGAGCATTAAAATCGTTGTTCCGTTGATAAAAGCGTAGGGTTCCTTTCTTGCACGAGAGATTATCTTCCGAGGAGATTATCGATCTGAAAACTATGGCGGCAGAGCAGAAGGCGACGACAGAAGAAGTGAAGATGGATCTGTTCGAGGACGACGATGAGTTCGAGGAGTTCGAAATCAACCAAGGTCGATTCCTATTTTGATTTTTAATGATTCATCGTATACTTTTGGTGATGATTAAAAGATAGTCGGATTCTGATTTGCAAACTTTATAACTGTGTTGGAAGAAACTTGATTGTGATTTGGTAGTGATGGATCTATTAAGAGACTGAGTTTTGGTAGTTGTAATTGTGAGGTTTCTTAGGTTAGAGAAATAAGAAGAGAGAATCTGATTCGTTGGATTCTTTTGCTATGAGTTTGATTGTTGAATATGGATCTTCTTTTTGATGAGCAGATTGGGTGGAGAACGAGGAGCAAGTGAAGGAAGTTGGTTTGCAATGGGAAGATGACTGGGATGATGATGATGTGAATGATGATTTCTCTCATCAGCTAAGGAAGGAACTTGAGACCGTTTCTACTGATAAGAAATGAGGTTTTTCATTTGTATTTGCTTCTCCTTTCTTACTCTTGGATGCATGTTCCTATCTTTGAAAGATAATAATGTATCTCTCAACTTTTATGGTTGTTTCTCTGAATGTTTTGACTGGTTAAGTATGTTTTTAATGTTTGATAGTTGAACTTTATGGATCCTCTATGCTTGTTTAGTAACATGATAGTAGAACCCAAAAGATTAATCTACGCAACAGATAAAAACACAAGTTAAGAGTAGAAAAATACAGAAACTTCTATATCTTCTGGTAGCACCAAAACCAACAACATAAAACGGATCTTCCTGCTAGCTTCCGGAATCTCTGGGATATGTTGATTGTTTCAAGGTGTTGTGCCTCATCAACGAAGGTTAATGCTACAATGTGAAGGTTTTTTCTTTCAGAGTTAAGAGTCTAATATGTTGTTTTAATCTTTCCTGAATGGGTGGCTTATGGCTCCAGTTTCTATCCGGCTTAGTTGTTTTCTTAATTCTTTTCGTAGACTTGGTTTAGTGATCAATTCTATACGCTGTGATCATTAAGTGTTTAATGAACTCTTGTTCTTTTTATGTTTAACTGAAATCCTCAAATGACAAAAGAGAAAAAAAAAGGATCTTGCTAAGCGGTTTTACTTGTATCATCCCTTCAAAACCAACACCAAAAAAAAAACCAAACTGGCCCAATCTCCTACACTAAGAAAGACTGAGCAAATTTAGAACGGACAAAAAAAAAAACCCCACCAAAGGTCAGTGAAACCTGAAAGCTATCTGCTGCTGCATTCAGCAAGCGCTAGCTACTTCGACAACACCGTTTTGTGATATCTCGCAGGCAACTTCTGGTGCTGCTGTACTTGTCTCTTTGCTCTCGGCTTTGGGAGTAGCCTTTTTGTCAATGGCAGCCAAAGCTTGCTGAAAAATAACCATCTCCATCTGTTAGAATTTCATTTAGAAAAGAGGCACACAATAAGGGCTGTTTACCTGTTTTTTATACTGCTGCTGCTTTTTTTTGCCTTCTTTGATTATCTTCTCACGACTCTCATAGAATACAAAATCATCCAGTATGCATGTCTTGCTCGCATGTTCCTTGAATACCTTGATGACTTTCATGCTTTGCTCTAGGTTTACCTGCACAGATTAAACCACACAACCCATTTTTAGTTTTCTCTAACATTCACATGATCAGAGAGAAGTAAAGAAAAGAACCAGACTCTGACCTCCTGTGTGTCTCGGCTATTTGTAACCGGCTTGTTCTCATTGTTCTCCAGAGTTATATGCCTCAAGGAGCTATTTGGGATGTCTTTAACGATGTGCCACTTAACAGGGAAGCAACCAATCCACTTGTCCTGCTGCCAGTACTCAACTGTCTGGTTAAAATCTACTGGTCCTACCATCTCAGCTAAACCAACGAACTGTCCACTTGTGTTTACCTGTAAAATTTAAATAACTTAAGTCAGATTCGAACAAAACAAAGCCAAAGTCAATAGAGTATCTTAAACATTTACTTACCGAGAACATTAGGAAAACAGGGCATGACTTCTCTTTAGCATCATTATAAGCAGCATTAAGCTTCTTGTTGCCATTAGGGGTGCTAGACCACACATTGTATTTGATACTTTTGTGAATATCATCTTCACTGTACGATTTGATCACAAAGAGCTTCGCATTAGAGTATGTGTCAGCGAACTCTTCCTTGTTGTAGTCCTTTGAATCTGGAAGAAGAGAAACATCCTCACTCTTCTTCTTCTCCTCTTTCAGAGCTTCTGGCAACTGGGAAACTTCTTGGCCAATCTTGAAACCCTTCGCTGCTCTTGGCCCTCTGTTCAACTCCTCCAACCCCGCGACATTCTCTTTACCATACCCATAAAACCCGTAACTCGCTGTCTTGTACCAACTTGGAGTCTGCTTGTAAGTGCCGTAACCATAAGTATCGTATCCATAGCTACTCATGTAAGGCCCATACATTGAGTACATGCTGTCCACGTACTGAGCATAACTCCCTGATCGTCCCTGATAAGTACTCTGCCATATTAATTAAAAAATCAAATCACCAACGAACAAAAACTCAATACAAAATTCATTATTATTACACATACCATGTAAGGATACTGAAGAGTGTTGTTGGTCTTTCCAGAAGCAGCATAGTTCATGTCGTAACCGTATCTTGGGTACTGATAGGCTGGTGGATAATAGGCACTAGGGTAGGTACCATAAGAGCCGCTCTTTTGATTAAAAGGAAGCTTCTTTTGGTTCAATCCTGTTACAGCTCTGACATTAGTCTTCCCACTCTTGGTTCCGCCATACACATCCTGCAAAAAAATTAAAGGGATTATTATTAACACTTGTCTCTAAAAAGAGAATAACAGTAAGCTCGTTACCTTGTTTACAGTGTCAGAGACTTTGGCCATGGTGTCCGAATCAAGGGAGAGATTGTGAATCAAATCTGCAGCTTCTAAGACATGATTAAGGATATAACAATCTTTAGGAGGTTTCAACAGTTAAAAAAAACATCAGATCTATGTCTAAACCCTAGCAAAACCCTATGGTTTCAACACTAAAATGAAAATTTTCAATAAAATTAAGCGAAATTATAACAGTGAGAAGCTACGAATCAGAATAAAAGCAGTGAAGAGAAAAGAAAGGATACGATCGGAAGGGGAAATGGTGGAAGCCATGGCTGTCTCTTGCTATGTGCTATATCAGCGGCGGAAACTTGGAGTGAGGAGAGGGAGAGACAAAAGACAACAAAACCCTAAGAAGAATTTGAGAGTCCTATTTATATTCCACGTTTTTTTTTTTCCAACTTTAACGCCAATGATTAAACCGAGGCGAAGAAATCCGGTTCGGTTAGGGATTAATACGGTTATTTATTCATATGGATAACCCCTATAGAGCGAATAGGAAGGAGGCAAAAACGTTTACTATATGAATGTCCATTATAAAATTTATTCATCAATACCATTAAAAGATATTCATTCTTTTTAATGAGTTTTTTTTAATTTTCTACTATTATTTTTAATGATATAAACAATTTTTATTTTCATTAATGGTAATATAATCTTTTGATTTTTGGACCTAAAAACAATATAACAATGATGTTTCTCTTAAAAATAAACATATCAGTCTTAATTGGTGTCGTTAGAACTAAGAATATTGATATTATTCTGCGGGTTGACCTGATCCGCTACGGAATATGTCGATCGATTTGAAAATTTTAAATTACAGGTGCGGATCAAGTGTATTTTATACGGAAAGGGTGCGGATTGTTCTAATTTCGATTACGAATAACCGGTAATCCGCAAAAATAGAATTTATTTTTAAATTTTTTTCAAAAATATACTAAATTTCCTTAAAAATAATTATATTTTCTAAATATTTAATTAAAAATATACTATTTAATACTATTATTTAGAAAAAAATAAAAAATAATTATTTTTATTATTTAATAACTATATGTGGATCTCGTAGATTACACGCAAAATTAAATGGGGCGGATGCGGATAAAATATATTTTCTTTGCGGGTTGGGCGGGGTGAGTTTGAACCGCTTCCCAGCACCAAACGTAGTTAATTGATATTATTTTTTCAAAATAAAACTATACAATTACATACAATACATTTACATAGATATTAATGATAACAATAAATTAAAATCTGCATTAATTTTTTAAAGTTATATTAGATAGTGACATTTTATATTATCAAAACAAAAGACTGTAGATAAAACAACAAAAATAATATGTATATATTAAATTATATACATCAAAAATCTAGTATATATCTAAAATTTTATAGAGATGAATTCTATAGTGGATATGAAGATGATGATAAAACAACAAAAATAATATGTATATATTAAATTATATACATCAAAAATCTAGTATATATCTAAAATTTTATAGAGATGAATTCTATTGTGGATATGAAGATGATGATATACTAGGTCTTATTGTATACTAGTGGTTAGTCCGCGCTACGCGCGGATTGTTAGCCTTTTTCGTGACTTTTTGGTAAAAAAATATTTATAAGATTAAACGTTTATACATTATAAGAATGTTTGTTAAAATGTTTATTTGTGGGAAAGTTCTTGTTCTTCATTTTTTTCAGTAGCAACTAACTGATGTGTTGTGGAGAAGAGAGATTATCTAATGTGTTATTGCATTTGTAGTTGAGCTATATTGGTAATTTATTTGTAGTTGATTTCTATTTTTTTTTAAACTATAGCTTTCTTTTTCTTCATGTCTCATTAACTCTTTTTTTTTTTTGTTTTTAAAATTCTTAATTTTGATTTAGTATGTTCGATTTTGAAATTGTTTTACTCAAAATATAGAATCTATTACATTAAAATATTGGAATGTTACGAATAAGTTTTCTTTTTAAAACTTTAATTCACTGAATGTTAAAAAAAAGTATTAGAAATGCCATATAAAAATTTCAACCTCACTTTATATGGTAACTACTTTTTGTCTCTAGATACTTAATTTGATTTAATATGTTAGCTTTTTAAATTTGTTTTGCGGAAAACATAGAACATTGTTAAAGGGTAGCAAAATAAATTCCTTCAAAAAGAATTTTAATGAACAATTTTTTTGAGCTTTTAGTCAAAAAAAAAAGATTTTTTTTTTAATTTCTAAAAGTAAAGCATGTTCGACATTTTAGTGTAGAAATGAATGTTATAATCTAGATAATTGAATGTGAGACATATTTTCAAATTCAATTTATATTTTATATTATAGTATGATTAAATATGGTGTTATCACCATATACATAACCACTGTTCTTTTGGCAATATAGGATGAAACATAGTCAACACCAAACATAGAATTCGTATTTAGCATCAGTATACTTAAAATATCACATACCTGTCTCACTATTAGTCTGCATCACTCTCTCTTTCTCTTTCACCTTAACTACTCAACTGTAATGTTCAAAGCCAACAAACCATAGAAACCAACATGCGAATATCACAATGACTAATGACCTCAAAAGCTCCGTTTTGTTTTCACCATGAAAATTCTTACCTGATTGTTGGTTTATGTGGTTGTATCTTCATAGGTTACGTGAAATTGTTTTTGGGTGCTGTGAAGAATAATTCGGAGTTGAGAGAACTGTATTCAGAAAAATAAGGCAAGTAAGTCTATTTTTGTGATTGTGGGCATATACTTCTATGCAGTTTGCACTGGTAACCGAATCAAGTTCAGAAATTTGATGGAAAGGAATGGAGAAAAAGCTGAAGATGAAAGCTTAGTTATGCTCTATGTGCTTCTAGACTACATTAATGGTATGTGATCGGATTGTGAGCATTCAAGGATAGTTGTGTTCACAACAAACCACTTGGAAAAACTCCATGTCTTTTATTTGGATTTTGGAGGAAGAATGGATATATGCACATCAAGTCGTCGTACCACTTTTACGAAGCCTTTAATATTGTTGGCAATAATTACTTGATCTTGATGATCATTCTTTGTTTAAGTAATTTTAGTCTTTGTCAAAGAGGGCATAGATTCTCCAGCTCGTGTTGCAGACAATGTTATGAGCAGAAATAAAAAATAGGCCTTGATGAATCTTTGAACGATCTGATCGAAGCTCTATGGGAAAAAAGGAACATTGTAAAGCATAATGTTCAATATTTGTTGTAAGAACGAAGTGGTTATTAGTAATTTTTTTTAAAGGCTTGCTAAGTAAAATTTAACTTGAACATTTGGTGCAAGAGAATATATATCATGAATTTCAGTTTTTTATTGAGGTAATTATACAAACTTACAAAATTCCTAATTATGATTGTGGAAAAAGAGAACTTTGGAGTAACCGATATTATGCATTACCTTATCTAATAAAAGGAGATACTCCTATTGTTACCACATGGTCCATTAGCCGTCGAAATTTTTATTTACAAAATAAAAAAGAGAAGTTAGTGTGAGACAAGAATCTAGCATACAAAATTGAAGGAACCGAATAAGTTTGTCTCGAGAGGTATCAGTAATAATTAACAACAGTACACAAAAAAACGCCATTCTAAATTTCATGTGTAAGAGAACAGTTTACACCAGCATCCCAGTTATAGCTGGATTCAGGTGATTATCTTTATGTGTAATTTAAGATGATAAACTTGAGGTCCATTACAGGAGTCTAAGTTAAGAGTTTATTAAAAGTATACACATGCCTTCAGATCATAATACTCACAATCATAAACCAAATGATCAAGGCAAATGTATGAACATTATACATCAATGATCGAACGAATTAAAACCAGAAACGTCATCATTCCCAATCTTCCCACCATCCAATCTTTATCTCAGATTATGCAATCAAAGACTTCACCTCTATATATGGACACACACACACAAAAAAAACAAAGCTGTTATAGTTTCCTCATAACATTTACTAATGAAACCGAATTTCTTTGTATACGATTTTTGTCTCTTCCATAGACTCATCAGCTCTGTGATGGCTTAACGATAACTATCAACCTATTTCAGTCTTTTCCTATTAGAATCCTAATACATACCAAGATACAAAGCATCAAGCTTGAAGAAACCAGCATCAGATCAGATACATTATATCGAAACTGCAAAATATGAAAACATAAACCAACATCAGAATTAATAAATCTTGCGAGAAAGAGCTAAAAAATGAGTGTGGTTGCCATACGATTTCAAGAAAAAAAACGGAACATGAGAATTAGAACTCTAATTAAGAAACAAACTACGTCATGATTCTTTTCACCACCCAACCTCTGTAACCCATCTCGGCGAGGTCCATCGGCGGCGGTTTGAGGCGAGAGGACAAGCTAGCGTGGGAGCTCTGAACCTCATGCGAGAGGTTCCTGATTGTGGCGAGCCTTGGTGTCACCGCCTCTGAGCCTAAAAGGAATGGTGATTACGCAGCTCCAGAATTCCGGTGATCTTAGAGCTCATCATCATCCATATTTTCTGTAGTGGATGAGATTTTTAATCAACGAAGCCATAGACGATTCCATCTTTGTTCGTCATCACCACCATATAAATATAGATACTCATTCACTAAATCTGATTCACTGAATCTGCTAGGAATTGAAGAGGCATTGATTTAAATGAAATAACTGCGTACGTTAATTTAATGGAAAGAAGGAGCGGTTACGTTTGCTCGGATGTGTTTACGGCAGCAATAGGAACGATGAGGAATCTGTCAATCACCATAACAAAGAAAGGAGGCATTGGAAATCTAAAATAAATGGGCTTTTACAACATCAAAATTGAAGCCCAAGTTTAGCATAACAAATCGACAAAAAATAGAGAAACATAAACCAAGATGGGGCAGGTATAATTGGTCGGTTTAATTTGATTGTGGGTGCTGACATGTCATTTTTTGCCCCCTCCTAAAAACTGATGTGTACACCCTAAGAAGGGAGAAAAGCTAACTTTATTGTATAAGATATTAAATTTGTTTAAATCGTTGAAAATATAAATTATTCTAATTTAATACTATATTTTTTCAATCCTTAAGATGATGGATACTTCAAAACATAAATTATACTGTTTGGATTAGTGGGTTTTGTCATCCAACTTCTCACTTTTTTATAAGCTTTAATTCTAAATTATTTTTTTGGTCACAGCAAAATTTGAAGTTTATTCGCTTATTAATTTTATAAAATACATATAATACGGTTAATAAACTGGAGAAAAGGTTATTTAAACCTTAATTATACTCCAATTCTCATCCATTTGAGGTTTCATAAAAAGAAACTTCTAAAACTATTAATGATTTTCAGCTAATATCCATTTTTAACTAACAGTCAAGTGTTTCCTTATGATATTTAAATTATATTTGTAGTTATTGATTTTTCATTATCTGCTTATAAGAGAATTTATATGAATTTGTTTGAATGTATCTTAAGGCAGTGGTAGAATGAAAAGAAATTCTAAGCTGACAACGATAATATGAAATAATGATCACTAAAATGAGTCTTAAAAATCATGTGAGATACACTTACATGAAAAGAACCAAAAAGATTTAATTGATGGTGTCTTTCATAGAGTTTGGAAAATTCAAATACATTTTTCAGGTTAAGACTATCAATATTCAGGGAAGCCCGTCACCGTTACATGTAAAATATGAAGCGCTACTATGAACCTTGAATTGCAGTGCATGTGGATAGTACCAATCTCCGAGGTAGTGTTTTTAAGAGCATGCACAATGGTGAAAAAATGGAGTCTTTAGAGCACAATTATCGGGGAGGGGGAAAAAAGGGGTGCTTAAAATTTTGTTTTTTTTTTCAGATTTAAAAAAAAAAAATTAGAAAATGGACCAATCGCGGGCCGCCACGTGTCGTGGAGTCCGCAGAACAGCCCAAGCACCCATGAAAAGCCGACGCTTATTGGGGCAACAGAAGCGTCGAATTTTTCTTTAGTTGGGCCCCCCACCCTTACTTTTTAGGCTAAGCGCCTCCCGATAATTGTGCTCTTAGGCGTTAATCCTTAGTGCTTTAGGATTAAAAAAATATTAACTCACCTTATTTTGGCAAAGATTGATCCGTAACTAAGGATTATAAGGATCAAATCCTCACTGAAGTGCCACGTGTGTATACCGTTTAAAAAAAAAAATTCATTTTCGACTCGTATTAAACAAAACAAAAACTCCAGCGATTCTAGAGGCTCTTTCGAAGACAGAGCATCATGGCACTGACTCAACACTGTTCCGTCTCTGTCACCTCTGCGGCTCGATTGAGCTTCTCATCCTCCGCATCACCACCCTTGACGACAAGGGTTTCTCTCAATCTTCAACCGGAGAACAAAGGTCAGACTCAGATGAGGAATCATTCCCGTGGGGGAATGATATGCAAAGCTATGGTACAAGAAGCAGCTCAAGCTATCCCTTCAGTTTAGACATAAAGTCTAAACCTTTCTCTTCTTTAGATCTTCTTTTTCATTACCTATGATCGAAAAGTTGCCTCCTTTATTAGTAATTTGGATTCATACGGAAAAAAAAAAAACATATTTATTTATTTCCTCTATTTCAAGCTGTTTTTGATTACTCTCTGTTACAGTTCAATGATGCTGGTGGCTTTGAGGCTTCCAGGGAAGATCACTGATATGCAAAAGATCGATGTGAATAAGAAGATAACGATAATTGAGCGTCTTAACCCAACTCCTAGACCAACCACGTATGTGCTCATATTTTATCTTGCGGTTTTAAGTTTTTTTTAAAAGGACAGTGTGATGAACTGGTTGTTATGTCTTTTTCCAGGTTTCCTTACCTTGAAGGCAGATGGAGTTTTGAGTGGTTTGGATCCAACACTCCTGGTTCAGTTGCTGCTCGTGTCATATCCGAGTTAGTCTTCTTTCCGCTGTGTCCCCTTTCTCATGATTATGCACAAAAAAACATTTTTAAGCATTGCTCTCTCTATCTGTTTGGGACTGTGGCAGGAGGTTTCCTTCTTCATTTGTGAGTCTATCAAGTTTGGACATTGTCATTAAAGATGCTAGCACAAGGGCCACCGCCAACGTTAAGCTGCTAAACATGGTATATATATATGTATACTTCTCCTAAATATGTATAAGCTGACTTCTAAAGAATAAAGAAGTTATTTGTCTATACAGATGAAAAACAAAGTCATCCTCACGTCGAAATTCACAGTGGAAGGGCTTTTAAGGATGAGGGAAGAATATCTAGAGGGAATGTTAGAGTCACCAACTGTTATTGAAGAAGCAGTTCCTGAACAGCTAAGAGGTTTATTAGGTCAAGCTACCACGACGTTGCAGCAGCTTCCTGAACCTGTTAAGGATACTTTTGCGAATGGTCTTAGAATTCCACTTGGTAAGCCAAATAATAAGCCACATTTTTAACATGTTTCTTCCTCACATGTTGATCATAGCTGTATGTTAATAATCTAGACGGTTGATTTGTTGGCATGAAGGTTACATATTTTGTTTTTCTGAGGTTGATAGTAGCTTGTCATAGTTCAATTTTTCAAACTTTTTGTGTTATTTTCTGCTGATGAATAACATATTTCTGAGATGTATTGGTCAGATGATGGGTAAAGTAAACCAAGAGAGGCTAGCTGAATACCTCAGTGAGTTGAAACAGAAGCAGGATACCAAAGACAGATATGTGGCTGCTCTAAGGTGAGAGACTCTTACCAGGAAGCCTTACCAAAGAATTCAACCAGTCCCAAAGCCAAATGACACGGCCACAACCAAATCTCAGTAATGATCATTTCTTAGAAAGAGCTTTTGTAATGGATGTCAAGATGGACATGTCTATTGGCCGTTAATGTTTATTTCCTTTATGTTTGAAACTGGCATGCTTTGTGGTTATCAAACTTGTGCAAGATTCAGTCACTTCAAACATTTTTGTGACAGTGAATAAAGCTGTAAAACCCCATGTTTTTGTACATTGCTTAGTCATTCTTGTTCTCAAGTTAAACATTTATAGAACATAGGAAGTTTAGAGAGAAGCTTTTTTTTTTAATTATTTTATTTTAAGGACTCTTAAGTGGAAAACACCATTGAACATATAATTCAGACTAGAATCCTTAACTATTAAAAAATAAAATAAAATATATTTTTTTAATGGCTAAGGACTCCAATGGGAGTAACACCATTGGAGTTGCTATAACTAACTGTGAATCAGAAACTAATTTTAATTAGAACTAGGTGTTTTGCCTGCACTTTCGGGCATAATTCTCTTATGAATATTTATTGGCTGATGTTTCATTAATTTATGACTTATGTTTTCAAAATGTACAAATCAAACATCAAATAATTATAAAAGACAAAACTCAAACATCAGAAATATTTAAAAGAATATATTTCTATTATTATTTTTCTTGATTTATATTTGATTATAATAGTTATACAAATATTTTCAAGATAACAATATAATGCATAAGTTATTTATTTTCTAAAAATATAATACGATAAATTCATTTTAATTATATAATAATTATATAAGATTATAGAAATGATGACATATAATTATAATTACTTAAAATCATGGAGAACTTAACAAATCAGCAAACTAATTTCTTAAATAATTTTGCTTGAGTGATTATTTATATTTGATTAATAATAGATAACTTTTCTATTTTAATGTTAAATTATATATAAGATATGTTTTCAAGATGACAACATAATATATAAAAATTATCTTATTTTCTAAAAGTATAATATTATTAGTGTAAGTTTATTTTAATTATAGAATAACTAGAAATTTTTATATCTTAATTTTAAATGTCTAATAGAAAAATATATTTTCAAGACAACAACATAATACATAGGAAGTATATTATTTTCTAAAATCTAATACTGTTAATTTAAGTTTCTTTAAAATATATAATAAATTATATATAAAATTATAGAAATTATGATAAATTACCTAAAATCATGGAATATATGACAAATCACCAAACATCAAATTCATTTCTTAAATAATAGTATAGATTTTTTTACATGTTAAATTTAAATTTTATAGTAAAAAATATATTTACAAGATAACAACATAATACATAAGAATTAACTTAATTTCTAAAATATCATATTATTAATATAAATTAGTTTAAATTATATAATCAATAATAAACAAAATTAAAGAAATTATGATACAATGATCAGAAATATTTAGGATCATGGAGAAGTTGACAAATCAACAAATTCACTTTTAAATGACTCTTGATGATTTATATTTAATTATTAACAATATAATTTTTATATCATAATTTTTAAGTTTTATAATAGGAAAATATATTTTCAAAATAACAACATAATAAATAAGAATTATCTTATTTTATAAAATCTATAAATTATTAATATAAATTCGTTTTAGTTATATAATAAATATAATAATTTTTATATCTTAATTTAAAATTTAAGTTTTACATATAAAAATTTAGTTCAAGATAACAACATAATTGATGTCAAAAAAAAAAGATAACAACATGATTCAAAAGAATTATCTTATTTTCTAAAAATATGATATATTCATATAATTTGTTTTATTTATAAATAAATTATATATAAATATTAAAATATGATAAATAAACAAAATTACCTAAGGTTATGAAGAAAATGACAACTAAGCAAATTTATTTTTAAATAATAGTATAGATAGCATCTTGATGACAAAAACATACCACCCATGGAAAAAATCAGAAGGAATAAAACTAAGCTACAGTCCCTTAATTCGCTCAATCAAGGTGACCACCAAGGGGCTGTTCGTTTCTCCATTTATATTCTCCATTCAGGTGATCCATCTATGTGATTCATCTAAATGATCCATCCAGATTTTAGGGATTGTTCGTTTTTCCATCTAGATGAGTCATCTAAATGAACCATTTGAATGAATTTCATGTTTTTTTTTCCATTCAAATGAGTTTGATAAACAAATTACATATATACCCTTATTTTGATTTAATCATATGTTTGCTATTAATTATAACTATACTAATTAATATTATTTCGTCTAAAATGTATTTAAACTAAATCAACCTCCAACAATGCGGGAAAATCCATTTTTGTTGTTTTGGCGGAAAAACGAGATTTTTCGGATTTGGCAGGAAAACAAGATTTTCGGTTTTTTAGGGAAAACGAGATTTTGTGATTTTGGCGGGAAAATGAGATTTTCGGATTTGGCGGGAAAACAAAATTTTCGGTTTTTAGGGAAAACGAGATTTTTCGGATTTGGCGGGAAAACGAGATTTTTTGGATTTGGCGGGAAAACGAAATTTTGTGGGTTTTTTCAGTTTTCGTGTGTCGCAGAATAATTTTATGTTTAAGTTTGTAATTTGTGAATTACAACAGGGATATAATAGACATTATACCATTTTGAATGAATCATCTCCATTCAAATGATTCAAATTCGTTCAGTTGAATGGATTTTAAAATTAAGCCTAAATTTCCAAAAATCATTCAAATGGATCATCTGAATGAGTTGTACTTTTTGTATTTAAACAAACAAAAAGCTCATCCCCATTCGAATGAATCACTTGAATGAAGAAACGAACAGACCCCAAATCGTACCGACAACCTCGAGCATACACTTAAAAATCCCACTATTGTAGACCCACCATAAAAACAAAACACTAGAAAATTTTGTAACCCACCATAAAAACAAAACACTACAGAATTTTGTTTCAGTGAACTTTTACGTTACACAGATAAAAATAAAAAGCTTTTTATTATTATTCATCTAAACAGATGAGAATGTGGTTGTGCAGTTTGACTCCAGCTAACAAAAAAAAACACATTGCATCATATTATCAAATCTTGTAGAACATTAAAAACTAAACCAATGAAGAGTACTCAATTGCCTAAGTTCTCCTGGGCACAGCACGAGCCTTAAGCGGATGTTTCATAACGACAGTGAACTCCACCTTCTCCGTCAAGTCAACTTCACAACCTTCCACTTCTTTCCACTCAAACTCCTTCACCATATTCGCCACATAATACTCCAAGTGCAGCATCGCCAGCCCTATCCCCGGACAGATCCTCCTCCCCGCTCCAAACGGCATCATCTTAATCCCTCGACTCCCCGTTATATCCACCGGCTCTGCTTCTCCCATGAACCTCTCCGGTTTAAACGCCATTGGCTCATCCCAAACCTCAGGATCTCTCCCTATCTCCGCCACCATGAAGTTAACCGTCCCTCTCTTCGGTACCTTGTACCCTCCCAGCACAGTGTCCTCTGTGACACTGTGCGGGACGAGGAAATGTCCCGGAGGATGCCTCCGGAGACCTTCCAACACCACTGCCTTCAGATAAGGCATCTTGCGTGCATCTTCTTCCTCAATCTCTTTCCCTTCTTCTTCTCCCACCACGCTTTTGATCTCTTCGTATAGCCTCTTTTGAATCTCCGGATTCTTCACCAAATTCGCCATGATCCATTGCAACGCGGTGGCGGTTGTATCCGTCCCGGCGCTGAGAAACTCCGAGCATAAGCTCACGATTTCGTCTTCGTTCAGCTTCCTCTTCTCATCCGGAAGCTCGAGAGCGAGTAACGTATCAACATACGATTGCACGTAGTTTTCTTCCTCTGAAGATCTCTTCTCCCTCTCTTCAACGATCTTTCTCCGAGCGCGAATCAGAGGAAGCAAAACGTCTCGCTGCTCCCTACGCATCTGATGAAACTCTTCCCAACGACTCCTGAAAATCAGTTTCGTTACCTTAGGCCAGAGGTTAAGGATATTAAACCTCGAGAGGCTAAGTAACTGCCTCCTCTGAACAAACTCCACCTCCTTGATCTGCTTCTCATCAAGCTTATCTCCAAAACACATAAGCACCAGAAGCGCGAACATCGCGTAGTGAAGATGATCAACAACAACGATCGGTTCATCTTTCTCGCTTCCATGTTTGCGAAACTGATCAAAGAGGATATCGAGCACCCAGCGACGAGCGTGGGAGTAAGATCTCACACGTGAAGGATGGAGAATCTCGGATTTCAAGTTACGCCTGAGGATACGCCACGTGGCTCCGTAACCTCCCGAGCTGATGTTGTGCTGGTTGCTGGAGTCGATTCTGCTGACTGGAGGCGCGGGCGGACGGTCGGCGAAAACGGCGCCGTTTTGGACGAGAGCTTGGTGAGCGAGGGAGCGATTGGCGACGAAGATGGAAGGACTGGAGGCGATGCGGAGGGTGATGATGGGGCCGAGACGGTGGTGGACGGAGTGGAGGTAGGTGGTGAGACCGCCTAGGCCTTTGCGGAGCCACCAGATGGTTCCGATGAAGGGGAAGAAGTTGGGGTCAGGTGGGAGTGGATGAGAGAATGAGTTACGTAGGCGTAAGAGGAGGAGATTGAGAACAAGAGATACGCAGAGAGAAACGATGATGAGTAACCATATCTCCATTATTGTTTTTTTTCTTTGTGGAGTTGATTCTTTTTTTTTATTTTTCTCTTTCTCAGTTCGTTATATATAGAGTTGTTTGAACGTGTTCATCAAGGTTTTCATACGTAGATTGCCTTTTATAATTATTGAGTTTGAAAAAAATTGTGATTATCTAGTTTTGTGTGGTGTTCGTAACGTCTTTTACGTGGAAAGAGATATTCCCTCATTCCCCCAATGGCAGATTATGTTACCTGAAGGGAAACATATATCCGGGAGACAGTAATCATATTTACTTCTTTTTTAGCTTATTCTTGTGACATCATCGATTGCGTATGTTACTTAGTGTTGTGATAAATATTATAGATAGGTCTTTCTAGTTTTGTTTTAAAAATACCTAACCAAAATTATATTAATGTACTAAATTTATGTTCATAGTACATGGACATGATTTAGAATATTTAATTGTGGAATTAATAAAATTTTATATACCACCAAAATCACTAAACTAAACCTATAAAATATCTAGTTTCTAAAGAAATTTGGACAACTAAGGTATCAAACCTCTTTGATATTCATCACACAATAGTGTAGAATGCAACTATTCGTAATATAAAAGTTATATATTTTTTAATTTATCTTGAAATATATCGGTTAATCCCTATGAAAAAATTGAGTTTTCCTGGTAAATGATATTTGTACTTAAGTGTTGTCTCTTTAGTATTGTTTAAAATATCTAACCACATTAAAAAATTGTACTAATGTATCATAAATTTAATTTCATGGTGTATTAGCACCAGTTATAATTTTCTAACAAGTAATTTAACAAAACTTCATATACCACGTAAATCAAATAACCAAACTCTATAAAATATTTATATTCTAGAGAAATTGAGACTAAAAAAGGTGTCAGACATCGTTGATCTTCATCTTATATATGTGTTGTATGCATATATGCATTACCATATTTTTTAATTTATATTAAAATATGTGGGTTAACTCCTACAAAAAGATCGAGTTCTTCGATAAATGCTATATACTGAAGTTTAAGCTCTTTCAAATTGTTTAAAAAATACGTAGTCACATTATACATTATTATTATTGTATGTTAAAATTATTTTCGTCGTACACAGCAATATTTTTGATATTTCAATGGAACTTTAATAAAATTTCATACTCTACCTAATTCAGTTGACTAACTAATATAAATCTGTAAATTCTGGAAAACGAGGATAAATATAGTCTCATACCTCTTAAATTTTCATCACATGTCAATGCATGATAAAGTTATACATTAACACAAATTACAATATTTTCTAATTTATCATACGTAAAATCAAGGTTTTTTCCAATAAATGCTATAATACTAAAATTTAGCATCATTAAAGTTTTTTTTAATACTTAACCACACCATATGCATATTAATGTATTTTAAACATGTTTTCAAGGTTCATGGACATCAATTTTAATTTTCTATTGAGTAATGTTTTAAAAAATATAAGAATACCTAATATCTCAAACCTCTTTAATTTTTATACTATGTCAGTGCATGATGCAGATACACATTAAAAATATCATATTTTTTAATTTATCTTGAAGTAAATGTTTTTAACCCCCTATGAATAGATTGATTTTTCGATAAATATTATCTATAATATTTAGCCTCTTTAGTGTTGCTTATAAATAAATAACAACACTCCAAATATATATATATATATATATATGTATGTATGCTAAACTTATTTCAATGGTAATCATTTCTAATTTTTCAATGAGTAAATTACTTAAACTTCATATACCACATAATAAGTTAATTAACCCCTATAAAAACTTCATTTTTAGAGAAACGTGAACAACTAAGATCCTAAACATCTTTATTCTTCATATTATGTCAGTGCATGACGCATCATTTATTAAAAAAAATACCATATTTTATAATTTATCTTGAAATATGAGAGTTAACCTCTACAAAAAAATCGAGTTTTCTGATAAATATTATATAAATAGGTCTCTTTAGTTTTGTTTAAAAATACATAACCACATTCAAAATTTATATTAATGTACTAAACTTATGTTCATTGTACATGAGCATGAATTCTAATTTTCAACTGAAGAGTTTAATAAAACTCCATATATCGATCTCTATTTTCTAAAGAACTTTGGGAAACTAAAGTATCAAAATTCTTTGATATTCCTTTTATATCAATGATGGATGCATCTATGCATAAAAACAAGAAAATCATATTTTTCTAATTTTTTTTTGAAATATGTGGGTTTATCTATATTAAAAGATGGATTTTTCCGATAAATGCTATTTGTACTTAAATTTAGCCTCTTTAGTTTATTTTAACATATCTAACCACGTTAGAATTTATACTAATGTATCCTAAATTTATTTTCATGGTACGTGGGTATCAGTTATAATAGGTCAACAAGCAATTTAATAAAACTTCATATACCACGTAAATAAAAGAACCAAATTCTATAAAATATATATATTCTAGAGAAATTGGAACAACAAAGGTGTCAGACATCGTTGATCTACATCTTATATATGTGTTGTATGCAGATATGCATTAAAAGAAAAGTACTTTATTTTCTAATTTATCTTGAAATATGTGGGATAACCCTTAGAAAAAGATCGAGTTTTTCGATAAATGTTATACACTAAAGTTTAAGCTCTTCCATATTGTTTAAAAATACCTTATCACATTATATATTTTTATTATTGTATGTTTAACTTATTTTCATAGTACATTGGTGTCGTTTCTAATATTTTAATGAGTAACTTAATAAATTTCAAATTTCATCTAATTCTGAGGACTAACCCTTATACAGTCTGTAATTTCTAGAGAAACGAACACAGATAAGGTTCCAGACCTTTTTAATTTTCATCACAAGTCAGTGCATGTTGAAGTTATGCATTAAAACAAAATATCATATTTTTAAATTTATCTTACGAAAATATCTAGTTTTTCCAATAAATGTTATATTTTTAAAAGTTTAGTCTCGTTAATGTTTTAAAAATACCTAACCACATTCTAAATTTATATTCATGTATGCTAAACATATTTACAATTTTATCATAAAATCATTAGTTTCTTATATATCTACAAAGTTTATTAATATTGTTTAATTTTAATTTAAATTTTTTAAAATTATGCAATTTTAAAAAATTTGTTCAACATAGTTTATTAAAAATTTGATAGAAAATATATCTAAGATTATACTTTTATATATATACATGCATATTCTTAACTATAATTTAAAATAAAAAAATAATTTTTATATTAATTTTTGTGCTTAATTAAATCAAATTTATATAAAAATATTGATAAGAAAAAAAACACAGTATTAATAAAATTGTATTTTAAATATAATCTATATTTATCTGTTTAAAATATTTTAAATTTTTTTACTTCACATGGTGCAAAAAAACACCTAGTTAATTGGGATTGTTTTATTATTTATAGATAGAACAATTTAACGAAGAAACTTTCCCTACTTTTAAAATCCAACATATACAGAAAACACATGAAACAATGGCTCACAAGTTTTGACAGATAAGTTTTCAAATGGTGATTGGATTCTACGTGGTTCATGTTAATTTGATACCAAATATCATCGATGGTAACAAACAGAAGGAATAAAACTAAGCTACAGTCCCTTAATCCGCCTAATCAAGGTAGCCACCAAATAATACCGAAAATCTCGTCAGCATACACTTAAAATCCCACTATTCTAGACCACCCACCATATAAACAAAACACCGCAGAAATTGTTTCCGTGGAACTTTTACGTTACACATATTGGCAGAGGAAACTAATAAGAGCTTTAATTATTTACTCATCTACTAACCGATAGAGAATGTGGTTGCGCAGTTTGACTCAAGAACAGAGTACACACTACATCATATTATCAAATCTTAGAGAACATTAAACTAAACCAAAGAAGAGTACCCAATTGCCTAACTTCTCCTGGGCACAGCACGAGCCTTAAGCGGATGTTTCATAACGACAGTGAACTCTAACTTCTCCGTCAAGTCAACTTCACAACCTTCCACTTCTTTCCACTCAAACTCCTTCACCATATTCGCCACATAGTACTCCAAGTGCAGCATCGCCAGCCCTATCCCCGGACAAATCCTCCTCCCCGCTCCAAACGGCATCATCTTAATCCCTCGACTCCCCGTTATATCCACCGGTTCTTCTTCTCCCATAAACCTCTCCGGCTTAAACTCCATTGGCTCATCCCAAACCTTAGGATCTCTCCCTATCTCCGCCACCATGAAGTTAACCGTCCCTCTCTTCGGTACCTTGTACCCTCCCAGCACAGTGTCTTCTGTGACACTGTGCGGGAGGACGAAATGTCCTGGAGGATGCCTCCGGAGACCTTCCAACACCACTGCCTTCAGATAAGGCATTTTACGCGCCTCTTCTTCCTCTATATCCTTACCTTCTTCTTCTCCGACAACGCTTTTTATCTCTTCGTATAACCTCTTTTGAATCTCCGGATTTTTCACCAAATTCGCCATGATCCACTGCAACGCGGTGGCGGTTGTATCCGTGCCGCCGTTGAGAAACTCCGAGCACAAGCTCACGATTTCGTCTTCGTTCAGCTTCCTCTTCTCATCCGGAAGCTCGAGAGCGAGTAACGTATCAACATACGATTGCACGTAGTTTTCTTCTTCTGATCTTTCCTTCCTGTTTTCAATGATCTTTCTCCGAGCGCGAATCAAAGGAAGCAAAACGTCTCGCTGCTCTCTACGCATCTGATGAAACTCTTCCCAACGACTCCTGAAAATCAGTTTCGTAAACCTAGGCCAGAGGTTAAGGATATTGAATCTAGAGAAGCTAAGTAACTGCCTCCTCTGAACAAACTCCACCGATTTGATCTGCTTCTCATCAAGCTTATCTCCAAAACACATGAGCACCAGAAGCGCGAACATCGCGTAGTGAAGATGATCAACAACAACGATCGGCTCTTCTTGATGCTTGCGAAAGCGTTCAAAGAGGATATCGAGCACCCAGCGACGAG